CAAATGATACTTTGAATATTACATGTTAATAACTTGATTGGAATTATAACCTTGAATTGACAGTTTGATACTTTGAAAATTTTGAGCCAGCCCTACCCCCAAGGGCTGTAGGGTGGGGCTCAAAGGAGTCAGTGTGCTAAAATTTCTTCATTTTCCTTGTTAAGAATCAGAGGTGCTAGTTTCAAATCCTTTTTAGTCTGAAATCTGTATGCTAGATATTGAGTAAGGTGGTTTTATTGTTTTTTGTCACTTTGAATAATATTACTGTTCATGTTAAAAACAAAATCAACTCTCTGTATAAATATATCAGGTGACCGTTAAGGCCCATGGGCCTCTTGTTCTATAATGATAGGTGTCTTTTAAGTTGTAAGTCTACAATTTTATGTCAGTAATAGGTGATTTCTGAGTCATAAGTCTCCAAATTTGTACGGTAACAGATTATTTCAGGATTAATAGGACGTGTGCTTTCTTTGAGAACAGTAGATTTAATGTTGTTGTGTGTTACAGGTCTACAGGTGTCTGTAGTGGGACTAGAGCGAGCATTACACCACTACACCATGGAGCCCACAGAGACTCCCTTTGATGTTAAGTCTGTCCCTCTGGAGACTGCACCCATCACCGACAGCAAACAAGGTAATAAGACCACCAGGACCTCCTTCAACCCTGATGGGGTGATGTGGAAACTGCCAACAGGATGAAATTGGGTGTTGAAATAATTAATTAACCATATAAGTCAGAAAGATGTCATTCAATTTTTCTACACTGCTAAACGGGACATGCTATATCTGGCTTGTTATATTGGACAATAAAGGTCAAGGAAAAGTGTTATTTTCAAAATGACAGAAAGTCAAATTGGCTTAAAGACAACGTTCACTTGTAATTATCAGTCAACTGTTTATCGCCTTTGAAGCATGGTACTGTGTGTGTTTAAGGTGATATAAAATACATAAATCATTTTTAGTGCGGGAACCTGGCGAAGCTGGTGGACAAAAGACAGAGAAGGTGGCCGCTTCCAGACAGGATATATATGCAGAGCAGTTGTCCTCCATCCCAGAGTTTGCCAACCTGGGTAACCTGTTCAAGTCCTCATCACTTCCTGTGCAGTTGACAGAGTCTGAGACAGAGTATGTCGTGCAGTGTGTCAAACATACATTCAGTCACTACATAGTGTTTCAGGTGAGATGGAATTCTAGTACTAACATAAAAAGATTTCAAATGGTTTATAATGGTTTATAAATTCTTCACAAACAAAGGAATTTTGCTCAGTGACTCCTATATTTTGTTTTCTAATATCTAATTTTTTTGTAATGCTCAATATAACATTATCATGGTTTCGTTTTGTTTCAATTTTGTCAAGATTTCTTAGCATTATTAGAAGTGTTCATATTTTTATACACTTTAAAAAAATCATATTGAAATTCAAATTAAGGCAGTTCACTTTGCTGCTATTTGATTTTAAAAAGTTAAGAAAAACTACATACATTGTTGGTTGAAAATGTACTTTACATTCCAGTTTGACTGCAGCAACACCCTGAACGACCAAGTCCTAGAGAATGTTACGGTACACATGGAGCCAGCCGACGGGTTTCAAGTGCTTAAATGTGTACCCTGTGCTAGTCTACCCTACAACAAACCGGGCACTACTTACACACTAGTCCATTTACCAGAGGATCCAACTTTAGGTATGCAGCTCAACCCTTTTTTGTAGTTTCTGTAAAATTTGTGCAATTGCTGTAAAGATAAACAGCATTCTTGAGAGTATTTATGAATGGTCTGATTTAACAGTGTTTTTGTTCAGATATGGTATGAAGAAATTAAATTTTGAATAGAATACATTGAGACAAATACTTGTATGCATTGAAAAACATGCGCATAAATGATACATTTCTATATGAACATACTTGATATATTACACTGTATATCAATGTAACATTGTCCTACATTTGTCTGTCTTACTTACTGTCACTGCTGCTGTAACCTTGGTATAAACATGACAAAGGTTTTTTCATCTGTACATTGAATGTAAATGTTGGAGATGCAGGTATGAAATGTAATCATATTTTTTGTGTTGTCTGATCATGGCCTTGTAAGTTGAGATTATTTTGATTTGTTCCAGTTACGGGGACATTTAGCTGCACCCTAAAATTTATAGTGAAGGACTGTGATCCTAACACAGGGGAGCCCGATGATGAAGGATATGAAGATGAATATGTGGTATGTAGTTGGTTGTGTGTGGTGTATTTCTTTTTTTTTCTATGACAATTTGTTATTGAAAACATTGATAAAGTGATTGATACTATCTTTTATCCATTGAAAACATTGATAAAGTACTTGATACTATTTTGTGTCCATTGAAAACATTGATAAAGTACTTGATACTATTTTTTATCCATTGAAAATATTGATAAAGTACTTGATACTATTTTTTATCCATTGAAAACATTGATAAAGTATTTGATACTATTTTGTGTCCATTGAAAACATTAATAAAGTATTTGATACTATTTTGTGTCCATTGAAAACATTGATAAAGTATTTGATACTATTTTTTATCCATTGAAAATATTGATAAAGTATTTGATACTATTTTGTATCCATGTATGCAATAGAAATTACCATTCATTTAAATTCCAATAATTTTATTATGCTTTTGACACATTATATCCAGGAATTATATCATTATTCAGGGGTACATGCAATGCTTCACATATTAATAGTTATCTCCCAAAACTTTTTACATTTTAATAGTTTACTCCCTTTAAAAAATTTAAGCATTATCTGGCACATTACAGCATTATCTGAGTACGTTTAGTGCAAACATTATTTCAGTATGTGTCATTGTGTCATCAAATAATGAAGCTTGGCAACTACACCATTTTCTATGACATTTAAGGTTTCTAAAGTGAATCTCTTGTGTAAAGTAGATTTATACCTCCTTAAGTGACGATTTCTTCTTCCATGGAAAAAACAAATTATCATTGGGAAAACCCCAACATTTCATGCTATTATGATAATGTTTTTATTACAAATCAATGATATTTGTATGGTCCCTGTACAGCTTGAAGATGTTGAGGTTTCGGTGGCTGACCACGTCCAACGGGTGATGAAGCCTAACTTTGGTGTGTCGTGGGAAGAAGTAGGACTGGAGAATGAACTGGAGGATACATATGCTCTGTCGACTATGAAGACACTTGAAGGTAAGGCAACATTCACTTCTATAGTGAATGTTAACACATTACTGCTTTATTTTGATATTGAAAGTCTTGGGTTTTAGGTGTATAGATGTATATATTTAATCTGCACCAGCACTTAGAATTTAAAAAAAAATGTATGAGTATATTCTCTTAAAATTTGTTAGACAGTAGTAAAATTGTTTCAGGCAGTGAGAATTAAAAAAAAAAAAAATGAGTATATTCTCTTAAAATTTGTTAGACAGTAGTATAATTGTTTCAGGCAGTGAGAGATAAATTATATAATTGAATTGGTTGCTGACAATATTGTGTTTTATGTTTACAGAGGCTGTTCAGAACATTATTAAGTTTATGGGTATGCAACCATGCGAGCGTTCAGACAAAGTGCCAGAAGGGAAGTCATCACATACTCTGTACCTGGCAGGAGTTTACAGGGGCGGTCACGATGGCCTCGTTAGAGCAAAGCTCGCACTGTCTGATGCTGGCGTCACCATGCAGCTGACTGTACGGTCAACTGACCCGGATGTTTCAGAGGTCATGGCCACAGCCATAGGTTAACTGGACCTACATGTGTGGGATCAGCAATACCTTGTTGAGTCATTGTGTACCGCATGTATGGTTTCTGGAACCCTGTAGGGTTGTCATTACCACTGTTTTTGATAGACTGAGAAACATTTATATGACTTACACCAGAATAAGGACATTCTGATGTCAACCATTTAATATTTAGTACATTTACTGTGAACAAAAATTGGAATTACATTTTGTGGTGAAGGCAGAGAGAGAAAAAATAAATCTTTATTTTGATAATACAACTGTTAATGATTTAAAATATTCAAATATGAATTGTTGAAGTGTTTGAACACGTTATTCTGGTATGTTGGATTTTTCATTCATATTGAATGCTGTTATGGTGTATAAATTCCTTACTCTGATGCCTGTAGCTAGTAGAGTTTGTGATGGGGATATGGAGAAGGTCAAACAAGTAGATTCTTTTCTCAATATGAAATAGAATACCGCAGGAATTCCCAATGTAAAGTATAATTATGTTCAAAATTCTCCAGTTTTTATTAAATTCTGAAGAAAGACATTTTTAAACAATCATATTTAAGTTTTATTGCTTTTCATTAATGGAGAAGCAATGCATATATTTTGATTAAACTGAAATGTTACTTTGTAATTAAATTTTTATGTATGTATCATTGATGCTATTGTCTTGTGAAGAAGCCATGATATGAAGGTAAGCTAAATAAAAAAGAACAAGAAAATTTGTTTTTGTTTCAAAGTTATGTTTATGAACTTGTTAGCTATGACAAAGTACATTGACAATGCAAGCATGCAGTGGAATGCCCTGCTTCCATACATGAAAAGGTCAGAGGTTCCACTTTTAGTATATACAGTAGAAACTACAGTACAACAAAACCGTTACTACCGTAGAGAACTACTGGGATATTTTCTTTTGTCTAATAGAGCATATAAGGTCAAAGGCCAAAAATAGGCACTTCAACATGGCTTTTCAAAGCGAAATATTCTTTAAATATAAAATATCTGAAGTGTTTTAGATATAAAATATCTGAAGTGTTTATGCACACTTCGGTACAAAAAAAGGCAAAACTGCGTGCACAAGATTTGATATAACTTAGTAATAAATTAATCAATTTGTCGGAAGCAGCGTTTGAACAATGTGATCCCACAGTTTCACTAGGCCAACGTTAGCTGCGACAACATAGCTTCTAAAGACGAGACATTTTTTTATATAATTGTGTCTGGGCAGAGGAGGCCGGGTATCAATTTTAGTACTAGGCCAACATAGACTGCAGGGTCATATATGAGACAAATTTAAGAAAAGTCCCGGATTACAGAATTTATGACCTGATTACCCGAAAGTTGAAATTCAAATCAGTTTGTTCTAATTGATAATCACACAGGGACATATAATAACATGTATACCTCTCTGATTCACGGACTTGCAGAATCTAATTCGGTGCTTTTATCTTCTCCCTGAAATGTTTTGGAATATGCCTAAGTGCTTCAAAGTGACTTTCACTGAAGATTGATCGTAATATTTCACTTAAAAAACCCATTGTTTTTCGTTCTGTTTTTTCCACACAAATTATCTAAGGGTCTAAAGTTTTGCCCAACCCATATTATTACGATAATGAAGAGCTTCAGACAGATAAATTTAAAATTTAGCAGAATACTAATTCGTCTATGTGAGAAGTTTTGTAATGAAGATAGTGAGAGTGGACTGTTCAGGAAATAACGATTTTAGCATACAAAAACTCTCTTAAAAAATGAAGTTCAGACAGATATCATGAAAATTGAAAAAAATCATCATACGAATGTTAAATAGTAATCTGTTCTCGGACAGAAATGTCATTAAATCACGTCTCTGTTTTAGACTATTAAAAAAAGATCACTCTATAATTATCAAAGAGGTCAATAATGATAATGCAGTAGTAGTAATGAAGAGATTTGTATTGTGAATGTAAATGGAACCAACAACCACCGCCGCTCCATCAAGCAGAACAAACCAGACTTCCCTGTGGCAAGGCATTTTAATATGCCTAGCCACAGTTTGAAAGACATGCAGGTTGTTTCCATAGATCATTGCCCGACATGGGATGAAATGAGACGATGTACGAGAAAACGGTTTTGGATCACCAACAAACCAACAAACCCGCTACCCTCGAGGTATGAACAAACGATAGGCGGTTGCCATCCGCTCGTTTTCCTTCCCGGGGGCATTTGACCTAATGATGCATTACTGCACAGTTGGTCTGCTATCTTGCCTGCCTGCTGCTTCATGTCAGTGTGTGTGCCCCACGGCCGTTGTCAGATTAATTTTTCAGATTCATACAGTATCTTAGCCATTTCATCTACTTATTCCTCATGCACTCGCTTATTTGACAATTACATGTATTATTCCTGCAAACCAAAAGAGGCGACTAAGTGTGAACCCCCTGCTGTGACTGTTAGATCCACTGCAGAATTGAGAGGCGACTACTGAGACATTCTGTAGCAAATTGAGTTTTTTTACATTTACCGGGCCAGATTTCCACATGCACATGTTCCACGTTTTTGATATCTCTTGTTGACTCACTTTATGTGATAGTGCATCTTGCACAAGAATAGGTCCTCTACATCAGCGTTCCTTGTCCGCGATGCTCTCAGCTTAATTGCTACCTTCAGCTGTCTTTAGCCGAGGGGACTATTGGTTTTATATAATAGCTATATTTTCAATTATAGTATATCAGTTCTATCTTCTTGTAATATGATGTATATGTACATGTTACTGTTCTGTTTCACTGTGTCTTGAAAAAGGAGCGGACCGCTCCGAAAATTTGACAACCTAAACTTGTCCACACTGTTGGAATTACTTCCTTGCCCCATATGTAAATGGAATTATATAGTTCTGGGTCATATTTTAAGACTGGGACATATTTGATAGTATTGGATCATACTTTTATTTGGCAGTATTGGGTTATATCTTGCAGTTGTCAATTATTCTGCATCAAATCGCAAATATTTTAATTTAATTTCACAGTATTATTTGTTGCATAACTGGGTCGTTTTGAGTAGTATTGGATATAATTGGGTCGGTATCAGAGACGGTATTTAGTCCATTTATATTCGCCTCTGGTCGTATTTGGTTCTAGTCTCAGTATGTTGGTCAATTATTCTGCAACTGATTCTCTTAGGAAATATGACAGATAGAGAGTAAATTACTTCTGTTTTAGGTGATATTTCACAGCGTCGAAGTAGTATTGGGAGCGGCAAAGTTATGGAATAAAAAAGCGCTAACGGTCGAACTGACGAACTCAAGACAACAATTAGCTGGTGTAATGCGGTAAATAAATGTAAAGTGAAGATAATTAGTTAACATATTTACACTGGGTGGTACTGTGTGTCGTATTGAAGTAGAGCTGAACATAGACACCCATTAGGTCCTGGGTTCAGAATCATCATAAGGTATCAAGATATTTGGTTATTATTGGGTCAAATTAATAAGAATGATGTTGTATTGGGTTTAGATTGTTTGGTTTAGTATTGTTTAACGTCCTATCAACAGCTATGTTAATTTAAGGACAGCCTCCCCTGTGTGCAAGATGCATGTGTGTTTTGGGAGTCTGCGATATATTCGTGTTTGTGTACTTGTGATAACGCAGAACTGATGCCGACTTTATAGTGCTACCTCACTGAAACATACTGCCCCTCACCCACCCGGTACATTATACTGACAACAGGCGAACCAGTCGTCCCACTCCTAAATTGCTGAGCGTTAAGCAGGAGTAGAAACTACCATTTTTACAGACTTTGGTATGTCTCGGACAGAGGACAGAACATTAAACCTTCCTCACAGGGGCGAACGCTCAAAAGTGAGGCATTGTCAAGGGAGGCATTAGGATGAAGAAAGTGGTTTAGAAAGAAGAGAAAAGATAAGATCCCAAATTAGTCGCCACTTTCGATCATGCAATGGGGGCAGCAGGTACAATTCTTACGCCCTACCTGCAGGGACCCGTTGTATTGGGTATGATTGGGTTATAGTATTTCGGAAAGGTTTTCTGCACTAAATCGCATATTTACTCATTAAATATGGCAAATAGAAATATATAACTATTACAAATGATATATTTTACGGTATCAAAGTAGATTAGGGTGCATAACTGGGTCTTATGGGGTAGTATTTGGTCGTATTTAGTAGTATTAAGCCCGACCCCTGCATTCGTAACATTGTGTTATGTCCGTTTCTCGGATAATATTATCTGTTCTCATCGCAAGGACCATACCGCGACGGGTATGATACGTCCATTATCAAAAGTTTGGTTAAAAAGATTTGGTTGGAGCCGAGGGTTAATTTATGCATATAAATAAATAGCAAAAGAATATAACAAGGGTTTGCAATATTTAAATGTAAAGATTAAGTTATATGATATTTAGCTTGATTTTTTTTATGACAAATATCCCCTTATTATATGCTAAAGAAGCATGAAAAGTATCTAATATATTGACGTTCAAGAAATACGAAAAATATTTCGTATGATAGGGTAGAATGCATTGTTCGTCCATTTCTGATTGGCATTTGGCAAGGGAGATAAATCGTTGATAATCTTTTGGGGAAATTATTGTCGAAATTATTTGTTTTGTTATGTTTCTTTGTTTAAACAGTAAACTAAAAGGAAATTCCTGATCCCTGAGCTGTTGCACGTGATCCCAGACAGGCAGCATGTTTGTATACGTTATGAAAACGCATTGAAAATTTTGACAATAGCAAAAGACATCAATTTTCTTCAGCTTTGAATTTATCATGAAGATACCAAATATATATTTAGTTATCTCCCTTGTTTAAACGGGGGAATCTGAATTTGAAATAATTATTTAGAATACTTTTATATTGACATAATTCATATTTTCTATCATCCACAATATAAAACAGTATTTTTAGTAGTTATTTTACTGGAAAACCCGATAGTTGCACTTAAATACAAATCAATAATCAGTCCAATCAATGTGTATATTTAAATAAGGAACACCATCGTTACACTTTTCTGTTTATCATTCATAACATTTTTTGATGCATAATCAATTGACCTTTAATGCGTGCAAGACACGCATGACTTTTGACCAATTTTGGTAATAAGGACTCCGGCCCTTCGTGGTATTGTCCTTTTAACAATTTAATGAAAGATTTCATACCTCCGTTATAACAGAGGCGTATATAACACATAAACATAAACATGTAATATACGTCTCTGGTTATAGCGAGAAACACGCATTTACAGAGGGGCCCATACGAGTACCTCATAAAATGGAAGAGTTGCACATAGTAGCATTGGAAACATACCGAGATAATAAATAAAATCGATCCTTTATATACCCATGTTTGTTCAGAGATAGTGGACTATCGATTGCTCGCAATATAGTCCATCGTTAAATTTGATAATATTAGTTGGTCAACAAAAAATATCAGAGAGCGAGGGGCTGGATTTGCAAGGTTTATCATCTCAAATCTAGTACAAGAAATCATTGTTGATTACAGCACTTCCCGATTGTTACGATAATATCAGTGCAATCATGTCTTTGATGTTCGGTTTGCTAACTATGTCGTGTACGTGACAAAAGTGGTTTCTCCTGCTGACTCAACACATTCTGTAAGGTGGACCAAGTGCATTATGTTTCAAAGGGGTGTGGCTTAATTTATACACCGTCGAATCAAAACTTTGTTGCTATTTCTTTTATCTACATCACAGTCAGTCATGCTTCGGCCGTTCCTTCTTAATGGGTGACCAATCATCTGCCATCTACCTGATTCGTGAATGGAATTTTCTGATTGATAAATTACAAAGAAGTTGCTGCGTGTTCTCCAAGTGAAATGCTACATTAGTAAAGATGAAATTCTGTTCGTGACCAAGTCTTTCATTTTTCCAACTTTGATTATTTTAATCACAGTACATGTCATTATGTATTGGCTTTAACAACAACAAAACAACAACTGCAATCGCACCGCTACAAATAGATTNACGTCATCATAACGGTACCACCCGGTTAGGGTGGTGCTGCAGGGTGGTCTGCGGGGTGGTGGTGAGGATTATATAGGAGACTGCACTCAATGACCCTGTTGATGCAATCGGGGAAAATCCGTGATGTCATCATAACAGTACCACCCGTTTAGGTTGGTAGTGCGGGGTGGTGGTAAGGATTATATAGGAGACTGCACTCAATGACCCTGTTGATGCAATCGGGGGGGAAACCCGTGACGTCATCATAACGGTACCACCCGTTTAGTTTGTTACTGCAGGTTGGTGCGGGGTGGTTAGGATTATATAGGCGGGGGACTGCGCCAAAAGCGGTACTTTCCTACTACTCAGGTGATTTAGCATCCATAATATAAGTTGTATCCCCGTATGAACCGATATTGATATGGCAGTGACAATTGCACACAAATCGAGATATATTATCAAAGTAAGAATTTGAACTGTTATACTGAACTTGGCTTATATGACTCATTAATAAAATAATTGCTATTAAACAATAATCATTCTTCGTAGATGATAGATCCATATAAACAGGTAGAAAGCGAATATTCTTTGAAATTAACTGACATGTACCTTGTAACTGTTTACATTCTAGGCGCAATGAACAAAAGACACAACAAAATAGCAATGACCATGACTATCTTAACCCTTTCACCACTGTAGACCATAATGGACTCATCTAGATCAATGCATGGTAGAGTCTACTAAAGTAACATAGGGGTGAAAGAGTTAATGTGATTATTTCTTAGAATAGGAATTTGCGACGAGAGATGAGCATTTATTTACATTGTACCAATTTCAGGTTAATTTGTAAAAAACAAAACCTATAGGATTGTTAAATTACAATGAAGTGAGAGAAAAAAAAGACAAAAACTAAATTTAGGAATTAAATATTCATATGGTATTTAAAAATCATATCAGTGCATGTTGCAATAATAATGTAAGAGATGACAGTATGGATGTAAGTGCGAGTATCGATTATTGTTGTTTGCCGAGTTCGTTTATATAATAATAAACAACTGTCACTCTGGTAAATACTAGCTGCTTCCTACCACCTCCCTAAAGTATAGACATTCTCTTTAGCTCAATGGGTAGAGCACAAGACAAGTAAAACAGAGGTCCCGAGTTTGAGAAATGACCTCTGTTACTTCCCTTGTATAATGTAAATCAGAATTAGAGTAACAGTATTACTTATCAACAATCCTTTAGGATTTCATTGCTTTTTTGGTTTTCCTGTTAATAATGTCAAAACTTATCAAAATCGTTAGCGGTAATGAATGACATACTAGATATCCCTCATCGTACACTACCCAAGAATTTGTAATTGAATTTTAATATTAAGATAAAACAGATAGAATTCTTAACTTTTCTGCTACTAATTTATAGATCAAATTGATGCATTTATTACCTTCATTACTTAAAGCGTGACCTGGCACGCTTGGATTTGACAACTTTCGGAAGTGATTCATTCATTCTTTATTACCTTAAACCTTGCGGTTTGATGAATGCCGCTCATGGTGTTCATTAAAAACTTTGCGATTTCATCCGAATAAAAGATAGCGAATGAGGCTTTGTCATCTATTAAAATTTACATTTCAATTTATGTAATGTTCTAATTATTCCTTAATGTACGAAGTTTAACAAGTTGATTCAATTAGAAATCATGTGATGATATGCCGTCAGCTGTCTTAGATAATTTCTCGTGTGCTGTTGACAAAACAGAAATATTTCTAACAATAGTTATACCTGAAAGCTTGAAAATGTGTATCGTAGCAAGTGCGTACTATCCAATTTTGCAGTACAAATAAATGAGCATAGGTTAGTGAAAGGTCCCTCATTTAAACCATTTCAATGTAGCATTTATAATATGTATACTTGTGCATTTACTCATGTTTTAGATACCGCTATTTTACCAGTAACGATGAATATAAAGTTGATATCATTCTTTTGTGAAAATAAAACACTTAGTTGTTATCCACAGTTAATCAACTAATCAGACAACGGGGTTTAAAAGCATTGTCTACTGTGTCATTCTGTACACAAGTATAATGCTAGTCATTAGGTCTTTTTACTACCGATATTGTTATAAGGACGTTCTTACGCCCTACATTTCCAAAAGCTACTTTTTGCGATTATTTCTCGCAAAGCTAAGGTCATGGATCGCCTCATAGTTACAATTTAATATAAAAGAATTGCAGAAACGGGTATCGATGGTTTGTTTTATTTAAATATCAGAATATGTTAATTAATGTCATATCTTGTGTTTAAACATTAATGTGATAATTTATAAGCTATTTATTAAAGTGAATATTATTTTAATAATGTAGATTAAAATTCCATGAAAACGACTAAATATAAGAGATTTTTGATCAGGTATAATACCAGTTTGGTTAGAGTTCGGTACAAGGGAGATAACTCGTTGACAACTAGTTTCTCTATACAAATAGTCCCATATATACATATATATTGGACTATTTTGTATGTATACGTCCGTGTATTACAATAAAAATGCCCAATCTCATGGCGTCAAAATAACCATCCGATCAAAATTCCTCGTCATCTTTATGAAAGTTGTAGCAGATGTCTATAGATTATACATTCCAACAGAGACATATTTCAATCCAATTCAGTATTTTATTGCTTTATTTTAGTTACATGTTTACTTGAAGGCAATATAGATAACAACAAACAAATAAAGAAACTGAGTTAATGAGATTTTACTCCTAATTTTTGGGCATTACATTTTATAAGCACTACTCTACCATATATTAATACTCATGGCAAGAAATATCAACAGGGAAATGCTGAATCAAGAATCATTTGTTTAGTCTCATGCGGAATAAAATTGCACTTTCACTTATTTGTCTCCAGGAAAATATAATAAGCATTCAAGATAGAGTCGATAAAAAATGGTAATCTATTTAGTGATAAATTTAGTTTAGAGACTTAAAAATATTTACATATCTTATTTTTCGACAATGTTTGATTTCATTAATCATTAACTTAATTAAGAGCCTGCATCGTCTGTGTTAATTACAACAAAGCCAATTATTCAAAGGAAATGTGATCAGGGAAGCCCTAACAACCAACTCCTGCCTTTTATGGATATTGGAGATAACGGCATTATAAGCTGTGGGGCTATCATTTCATATATCACTCGCCACATTCACATAAAAAATGGTCCGGACATTACACACTTCTAAACGGTCACATTCGAGTTCAGAATATTTTTGAATTTACAGAAAAAGTTTGATGTCGCCCTACCAACACAACTTTCAAAACATTATTTCCGAATGGATTGCTTTCTTTATTTTGCAACTAAGTTTCTAAACAAATTTTAATGTTAAGGTGAAATTAACGTTCTATTAATTCGTTTACAGCATTTAAACTAATCAACAACCTTCCTGTTTTGCAGATATCTTTTAACAATTCAAGTTCGGGTTTTAGATAAATGATAATGTGTTGACCATGCAATTGCAATGTTGCTCACATATTACTGTACTGTTTCTTTATATAGGAACTAATTATGCGTTCCTCTTATAATAAGGTAGCTTTTGACGGTGGACTGACATTTTCTAACTTTACCTGTACCCGAATATGTTCACTCAAAATGACGTATGTCACAAACTTTTGCATTTCGATTTCTCCTTCTCTCACCGCAAAAATAACCTTCGGTTCAAGAAAGTTTTAAAAAGACATGGAAAACATGGATGTTTTGCCGTTTCTTTTCTTTTTCCTGTATATGTACTTTCAATGTATTGAAGAATAAACTGCTGCTTTCATAAAAACCGTGTTAATTTCGAATATGTATTTAACGTTGCATACCATAAACATATGTAACAGGAAAGAGAATAGTGTGCTTCCACCGGGGATCGGACCCTCGATCTCCAGGTTCCAAGTCGGACGCTCTACCAATGCGCTAAAGTGAAATTCCCTCTAGCTGTAAGCTAGAAGGCGACCGTAATCCTATTTACAACATTAAAACCTGCCATACAAACATTGGCTCGGTAGAGCCATTTCTGCGACAAACCAGGGATGTGTAGCGCTGGACAAACATAGGTATAATTTTAAAAACCCCACAAAAAACATGCAAATAAATATAGGCCTACATAGATGAAAAATATAATATAACTTTAGGATAAGCTCTTATAACTGAATTGTTCAATAATATTATTATAACACCATAGGTGCCACGTTATCGATGCCTATAGCTGGGGGTGGGTCTGGACTGGCTACCAGTTCAATAGCAAATTACTGGTCAACATCCCACTCGGGTACGGTCCAGTATATTGTGGGAAAGCTCTAATTTCGTTTATTTTTGTTTAAAGAACCACAACCACGAAGGATATTCGGTTCTGTCCAAAATTGGTCAAAAGTCATGCGTGACTTGCACGCATATAAGGTCACTGAACGTACGTGTCGAAAATAAATATAAACAATATTAACAGTTTGTTGTGATGGTTTTTCTAATTTAAATATTGATATTATTTTAGTTGAATTTTATTCTATTCTTTAAAATGAATTTGTAGTTATCAGACAGTTACATGCCGATATATATTTTACGAAATAAGACAACAATAGATAAAGAAAAAACCCATTGCTTTTGAATTTATAAACCAAAAACAATATTATCTAAATTACGATTTTTTCTATTAGCAAGGGAGCTAACCTTTGTTAAAGAGGTCTCTAGTTTTTGAAGATAAGAAAAGGTATCCATATCCTGTGTGGAAAAATCGCATTGGAAAATCAAAGTTACGTGTTTATCTCACGTAATATAGATTTTTTTGTTAATTCAACTTGAGAGTATGTCGGCGAGGGTTATTAGAAATGAACTGTATCCTGACTCAACCGTGACACTTGCACTCTTTAAAAATGTTGACAATGCGAAAGAACTCCGGCAGTGTGTAATGACCGGGAAATTCGAGGCAGCGCTGTTGAAGACTTCTATGGTTCGTCCAATAAATTATTACACGTTCTACGAACATACGAATTTTAAATTTAATCTGTGCAACAAATAAAAAGGCTATAATTTAATAAATGAAGCATATTCTGTATGGAAATAAAGCATAGACTATGGGTTTCATTTTCTATGTATGCTCTCTCAGTTTCGACCCCTCAGTTTGGATCGAAACACTGCTCTTTATCCGATAAAGAAATAATGCAGTGAAAACAGCGCAACGTATCAAGTTCAACACCACCTGACCAAAGCCGTTTAAAAGGGAAGGATGAAGTTATCTAGTAACTGATACTCTATAAACATTACAAGATCAGTAATTTAATGATTACCACTACTAGCCCGAGTTTCCTCTGGCCGTGACACAGATTTAGATATTTTGACAGATAGATGTCTGGTGTGATGTCCAAGGATTTATATATAAAAAAAGTGTATTATACTTTATTGAACAGGCAACAGAAAAAAAGATAGATTAATATGTGTTGTTAATACTTTTGAAGTAATTTAGACTTTTATTTTGCAAAATGATTTCATGTAATTTGCTTATGATATAATTAAAAGCATTTATACTAATGTGTTATTCGAATTTATATTCCAGATAATTGATCCATTCCAAGTGATTGTGGCTGCAAACAGAGCGGTACATTTAAACAAAGTCAACAAGATGATGACGAAGAATGTTCACACAGAAATTCTGTTCAGTTTATCACCCACCAAAAATGTAAGCAGGAGAGATATATTTTTACAGTAGACAATCACATTGATTGTGATATCTTCAGATTGTTGAAGTTGATCAGTACCCTTTAGAAGAAGTAGAAGTACCAAACAAAATTTTCATGGCGGAGAAAAGACTTTGTAAATTTTCAGATGTCTGCCTTCAATACAGGTACATTCAATGCCATATATGATGAAATCATATTATGAAGTTAACTTGTGCTAGATGTTCAACATTATATTGAGATTAAAAATCAAGACGCCTCCAAACATTTGAAGGTTTTACAGGTACAGTGTATCTCTAATCTTTATATGTGTATTGTAACTCAAATGATGACACCATCATTTTGATATATAAAGTAAATGAGAAAATGTCCTATTGCTTAAAAAATCTGTCTGTTGACTAAGATGCCTTGAAATTCTTAACTTATAAGTTTCGATTATTATTTAATCAGAAGTATCATTATAGTTTGTTCAAAACCCCCGAATACATGTACAGAGAAACCAGACATAAAAAGATTTCAAGGGAGACTACCCATCATTTGGTTAACTGTTTTAGTGTTCGTAATACCAAAAGACTAGAGATGAGATGTTTGCTGTCAGTAATGTCCATTTACATTGAGGAAGAAAGTACCTTCAATGTAAAAGTATTTTAAGAGAAAGTAATTATACTGTATAATGCACACATAGGTTTCGTTTGCTGATAACGTTTTATTTTTTATTTTCAGATTTCAGAATCCTTCAGAAAGTTTGGCCTTGCTGACACTGACAGAAGTGTTGTGGTAGCCATTATGGACGACATTGATGGAACAGTCCTCAACTCTGTACTTACTTATATGCAGGGAGAGCTCATTGATGTAGCAGAAGTGGAATCATTAGCTGATATAGCATTGATAAAGAAAGTAGGCAGTCCATTTTATACCTAAATTTTACAGCAGCATGAATTGGGAAAATGAAGCAATATTTGATTCCTCATTTTTTTCATTTTGGGAAAAAAAGCACTTTTTAGCTAGGGAAAGCAGCCTGGTTTTGGCTGCAAACAAGGCAAAACAGAATAATTGGTAATAACAAAGAAATTTCATTGAATATTTGTTATTTAATCAGTATTTCTCAGTCATTAGGGACAAGTTTTTTCCTAGTTCATAAAACCCTTTTTTAATTCTGCTTAAATAAAGCAAAAATTTATAAAGGAATATCAAAGGTCAACTTATCACGGTCAACATGTGATAAATAAATTGTTAGTGTGATCAAGAAATGTCTTTTTAAAGCTAATCAAGTAATGCAAATTTCCTGCTTTGTGACAATCAATACAAAATTTACCTGTAAAAACTTCTCTGGGCCTTGAATTTTAAAAGATTATAAATATGACAATGAAACTTGCCATGACCTCAAAGTCAATGGTCAAATGGGTGCAAAATGTCTTTATGAGGATAATTGCATCACCCACAGTAGGTGTGCAGTACACTGATTTAGGTCACCATGACCTTCACCCATAGGTCATTGACAATTGAAGATATCATCAAGTTCTTGTGTAGGTGGAACTAATAAATGTTGGTGATATTAATTACATGTATGGGTCATAAATATTTTATGATTTGGGTTTTCATATTTCTTAAGAAACCTGGCATTCTGGATCTGTTGACAGGTTTACGTTCTACATATCTATAGATTACACCTACAGTATTACTCATGGGAAGCTTCAGTCTATTCAGAGTCAGCGCTTCCTGTATTAGGAGGAACAGGACAGAATACTCAGAGAAGAAAGCTTCTGTGTAATTGCATAAACATGCAAGACACTATTCACAAACTGACAGAGCAGTAGCCTAACCCAAAGTCATGTATCAGTAGTAGTCAGTGTCATATAGCTTGTATTCATTAAGCGATATATTCTATTTCATGTCTCTTCTGAGAAATACGAAGCATCCTGGAGTATTAAATATGATAAAAATGGTTAATAAAGAAATAGTGGAAAGTCTTTTATTATTAGAACATGTGTTTTTTGTTGCAGATTTACAAGATAACTGACACTGAGTTGACGACGTGTTCTCTATCCAATGCTATTGTTGCCAGAATCTCCAGTAAGGACATCGTGATCGTATGAACTTTAACTGCTATGGGCGTGCAAATTAAACACCAAGAGTGATCGCATAATCTTAAACTATTGCTAACGGCACAGTTAATGGATCAGTAAGAATGATTGTTTCTTATCCAATTCTGTCATTGCCAAAATCTCTTGACATCATGAGCATATATGTCTGAACTTAAACTGATGTGGCTGAGCAAACGAAATGCCAAGAATGATTGTATGATCTTGAACTACTGCTGACGGCACAGTAAATGAAGCGGTAAGAGTGATTGTTCCTTATCCAATGCTGTTGTTGCCGAAATCTCTAGCAAGGACGTTGTGACTGTGTAAACTTTAAGTACCATGAACGAGTAAATACAAGAATGATTTTATGATGTTTAGCTACTGTTAATATCAAAGTAAATGGATTCCAAAAAGGATTGTCTGCTGTTTAACTCCATGTTAAGGAATGTAAGGAAAATCAAGAATGGTTTCATGATCTGTTACTGAAGTTAAAGAATAAAGAAAACAACAAGAATGGTTTATGATCTTTAATATTAAATGTGTAAATGGAATGCATAGAATGGTTGTAGGATCATAAACCACTGTAATTGTCTTAGTGAAGGGAACACCAGTAATGATTTATGTTGTTTATTTAATGTTAAAGGGGCAACTGGAACATCAGGAATGTTATTTGACCTTTAAGGTCATAGGAGTGTATTGATAAACGGAAATAGGAAGTGCATCCCTAGTTGAAAATCCAATGTAGGGAGACAGTATCACAATTTCCACATATTCTGATGTTTAATATTAAACTGATAAATATTGCATGTTTATTATTGACAGAACAGTGTGTTCTCTCAATATTAAAGTATTTCAAAGCAATCCAGGCATTAATTCAGTTGTTTTTTATCAATGAGTCACATGTGTCCATTTTTCTGTACTTCAGGAACCCGGCTACCTATTTCACTACTGTGAAGTTTTTCAAGAAAGATAACTCTTTACATGCATGTACATGGTTTTATTATAAAATGTCAATTTTTAAACGTTTATAGATAATTAATTTTACACTATTTCAGCCTTTATTAAATTGATATACATTAATGCAATACTAATCTATGTCAATATCATTTTTATTGACATTATTTTGCCTAAAATTGTGTCTTTCATTTTTTTTTCAAAACTCACTCCTTTTTACATAAATTTTCATTTCAAATCCTTTAAATTCTGACAACCTCTATTTTTTTTGTGGCAGAAAATTTTCTTTACTTCAACGCAATATAACTACAAAATTGGAAGAAATTCTACTGAGAAATGGTGACACAATCCTATTAACTTAACCAATGTTAAGGAGTAAATTGAACAACCCCAGAATGAATATATGATCTTCAAGTTCTGTTTCATGAGTAAATGGAATTAGACTGGTCGTATTCTCTTTTAATTACTGTAAATGTAAGCGTGAAAAGAAAACTAAATGTTCATATCTGTTAAGGAGTGAATCAAAAACAGAAAATGATTGCAAGGTCTTCAACCTTTGTTAAGAATGAAATGGAACACCAGGAATAATTGTATGATATTTAACTCCCACTTAAGAATAAATGGAATACCAAGAATGAATGTAAGATCTTTAGGACAAATAAAAAAAAAATCTTTTCTGCTAACCCTACCTACCCTAGATGTTTGTGCCTACCCTGAAGTTTTTATTGGCATTTAGTGATATGCAGTGTAACTGTGTTAAAGTCAGAAATCAGGCTCTATATAAAAAAAGTAAAAATACTTAATAAAATAAAAATAAAAATTCCTCCCTATACTTTCCCTATTTTTTGTGTGGATGAAAGATCATAGGAAAGAATCTTTTTTTGGGCCTTAGCTATGTTAATGTCAGAGTGAGGGAAAAACCAAGAATGAATTATTATTATGAATTGTTGGAGGTGTAAAATGGAACATAAAATTAATTGTGTGATCTGTAACTATTGCTTAAGCATAGAAGGTTCACTAAGAATGAAATTAAGATTTGTTACTTTTGTTAACATGTAAATGGAACACAAAAAATGAATATATGATCCTTAATAACCATTAAAGAAGTAAATGGTATAATGCAGAATGTTTGTATGATCTTTGACTGTTGCTTAGGAGGAAATTGAACACAATAAAAGATTCATATTTTTAAAACTACTATTTATTAGTAATGAAAACACCCAGTATGATTCTGATTGTGTGAACTTTAACTGCTGTGGATGATCTAGTAATGAGAACACCGAGTATGATTGTGTGAACTTTACCCGGTTTGGATGATCTAGTAATGAGAACACCCAGTATGATTGTGTGAACTTCAACCGCTTTGGATGATCCAGTAATGAGAACACCCAGTATGATTGTGTGAACTTCAACCGCTTTGGATGATCCAGTAATGAGAACGCCCAGTATGATTGTGTGAACTTTACCCGGTTTGGATGATCTAGTAATGAGAACACCCAGTATGATTGTGTGAACTTCAACCGCTTTGGATGATCCAGTAATGAGAACACCCAGTATGATTGTGTGAACTTTACCCGGTTTGGATGATCTAGTAATGAGAACACCCAGTATGATTGTGTGAACTTTAACCGCTGTGGATGATCTAGTAATAAGAACACCCAGTATAATACTGATTGTGTGAACTTTAACTGCTGTGGATGATCTAGTAATGAGAACACCCAGTGTGATTCTGAGTGTGTGAACTTTAACTGCTGTGGATGATCTAGTAATGAGAACCCCCAGTATGATTGTGTGAACTTTAACCGCTGTGGATGATCTAGTAATGAATACACCCAGTATGAGTGTGTGAACTTTAACTGCTGTGGATGATCTAGTAATGAGAACACCCAGTGTGATTCTGAGTGTGTGAACTTTAACTGCTGTGGATGATCAAGTAATGAGAACACCCTGTATGATTGTATGACATTTACATGATCTGGATAGATAAAGTGAACACCTAGAACAACTATGATGTCTAAGATGGTGAACAAGCAACACACATTGAATGCTGTGATCATTTCAATAAAAACCAGTGTTTAAATTCTTGTGATTTAATAACAACGTTTGCAATTTTGTGAAAATATTCGCAATTATAACTTATAGCACATTCTGTTTTGTTAATATAGATATGTTTATCCCAGATAGTTAATAAACACGTTGGCCTACTTTGTATTGGAAATAATTGTTATTTCCTCTCCATACTTGCCAGCTCTAGAAATGTATACAGTTTTAACTGTCAGTGTCACCAGTTTCCATTGTCATTTTGTCACATCTGTTTGTTTAAGTGAGAAACAAAAATGTAATATTTACAATTTCTCTGCATCTATTCGTTGCAGTGTATACGTAACATTGCAATGCACTGAGAAGGCAATTGTTGTTGTGAGACTATAGCAACATCTGCTAGTGTAACATCATCAACTTCTTTTGTGACGTCTTCAGTTTCATTGTTGTCAACACTTAATTAATTTGCTATACAAAGAACTATTCTATATAATTAAATAAAGCATTATAGGACCATAACAACATTTGCTAAAACGTTCATTGCTTAACTGAATGTTAAAGAATCTTTACAAATAGCATGGGAGAGATTGTATTTTTTGTTACATACATATTTTCAATGAGCTTTCATGTGGATTTTATCCATAACGTTATTAAAATGAGTGTATTTATCATTGAATTTTTAATGTATCTTGTGTCGTTTGTTTAATGTAAACTTAATGTCCATCCTTCAGAAAAGAGTGTTAATTACTTTCTGTATTTAATGGACGATCTCGAAAAGTCGAAACTATCATCAGGAGGTGTCATCCAAAATGAGAATAAATGGCGGCCATGTGAAGTTAGTTGTTTTAGTGATGAATAAGGTTCGCCATCAACGGCATTGATGCTCTCAGAATGGGAACATAGGGCGCGTGACGGGTATCGTATGGTCAGTTTATGTTCTAGCTGCAATTTGGCGCATGAATTCATACTTTGAGTACGTTAAGGAGGACCCATACTCAGGATGACACAGCTGTCAATTTGCATTCTTCTCTACAGACTTTCCATTCCAGAATACATTGTCCTCTTATATCAAGTGTGTTCTTTTGCCCTGGTTTTGTCGTTTTTGAGTTCGAATTGCGGTTTTGTTGACGGTTAAATTATCTTCGGTTGTTTTTATCTTCTGACACTTGATGAGAATAAGTACTTTACAATTATATTTAACACAGTTTATTATAGAAAACATATATATATATATTCACAACATTTAACACAGAATAATAGGCCTATTAAATTATACCTACACGAATCTAACCCTAACGAAACTAACCCCCAGCTTCCCATTCTAACACTACATCTAAATTATTCCTAAGTACCTAAAAATATACCTACTGCAGAGATGAACCCCAGGAAGTAAATCCAGCGCTCTGCGTCCATATAAGACGAACACCCCAACCTACACTCAAAGTTAACAATACGAAACGATGGACCAATCACAACAGAGGCTTTACAAGTAAACAGACCATAGACACAGATTAGAAAGCAAGAAGCACCCGACAGGATTACAAACACAAGTACACTGAATACAGACACAACAAAGGTCAGGTAACACAGGTACACTGAGTACAGACACAACATTAACCTGATACACAGACCAAATCAAGCACACCAATGCTTATTTTGCATTGTCAGCTTGAGCTAGCCGTCATAAATCATACATCAATAAATGCCCCCCGCTACAGAACTAACAAAGTTTAGTTTACTATCATGTGTCTTGGTATTAAATAAACTTTCGTGGAAAAAATCTCGTTAATGGTTGTCAGCTTTCATGGACATCTTGTTGTTGAATTTCTACTTGATGAGCGAAATAATTTGCAGGGGCCAATTATATAAACGACACAGAACATAGTATACAAGCATAAGCAAGATTGAAATTTAATTTTGTAAAGTTACATTGATTACTACAAAACAGTCGATATTCAGACATGTAATTTCTGTCTTTTTGCCCGTTGGAAACAAATGTCGAATAATGATGTATTGTTTTCTTTGTCGCTAAATCACTGAATAACACACACACAGTATGCATTTCTGTCATTATTTGAATAAAGAAAAAGAATCCTGCATTTCGCCTTTCACCGGTCTCCTCAGGTTAGGGACCTATGCTTCTCACTGATTATTCCTTTGAGATTCTGGGAGTTCTGGTGCAGGTATATATGCGTTCCTAGATCCCCGGCGTCTTCGACCTACAATTGGACCTTCACCTCCGAATGGTTCCAAGGTTGTCGTCGGTCGATGGACATCTTTAAGATACAAAGGCATTTTAGACATGGCATGGATGGGTGTTTTTTTTGTGGAAAATCGTGAATGCTTACCAAGCTAAGTATCGTTATTAGATTATCAAATTTCTATACGAAGTGATTAGCCACAATTTATAAATTGGTATTGAGAATGGATTGCTCTCCTAAATTTGTGTTTAAACAAATGCTCGTGATCAACATAGTTACTCTTACTACAAACTATACCGAAGGGCTTTCTATTTGTGGAAACTGAATGAAATATCGAGCATTTTATTTAAATCACATATGGAAAAAGAACAGTGAAATAAGTATGTATTTAGTCAACCGTCATTACGATACCAACATGCACAGGAACAAGATGATATAGCGATTTTCTTATAAATTGTTAATTGAGAAATGTTTTAATACGAGGTAAGACTTGTGAGCATTGATAGATATATCACAGTTCTTAATAAAACACTGGAAATCCTCAAATTAAGAGGGACATGTCGTAGGTATAGATTAGATAAGCTAATTTATACATTCTTGAAATTAATAAATCTACTGAATTATAAATCGCACATCTATCGCATTATCTAACGTGACAGAAAGGTAGACGTAACACACACACAGGTTGCCAAAAATGAAATACACTGCATCACACAGCTGTTCCGTCCTTCTAGGACTCATTGGTGTCTTTTAGCCATACCTACCAGTAACGGTTTGATGAGGAACTTTTGTGGTAGGATGACAGCTATAGAGGTTCTCCCGGAAGGGTGATGGTGGGAAGTCGTGGCAAACTGGAAAGCCCACTGGTGGTGATGGATGTAATGGATACGAGCTGTTCAATAGCATTTTCATACCAAGCGTTGCATGATACTGGATGTGACAGTGCATGATCCAAACTCCAGGATTATCGGCCTTGATCCGTATTATAGCGTATCCACCGCTAGGGACGATCAGTGTATCCTTTCGAGGAGGGTTTTTCAGTTCCAAGCCAGGAACATTGTTTCCCTGCCAGTTTGGATTACTCCAAGTGGCGTTATTACAATAGCTGGTTGCTTCTCCACCACCTCTACAATCTATGTCCATGTTCCGAGATATATATTTTGCGGTCGTCTTGTTGTAGGTAGCATACCCCATTTTCAGTACGTAGAAAGAATAGCCATGGAGGTGAACTGGGTGCGCATCACCTGTACCTATGCCCATATTCATCAATACAAGTTGTACGACGTCGTTGTGTTTAGTGGTCAGTGAATGAGTACACTTACAAGTTTTGTCCTCGCCACAGTCTACTTTGTCGCAAGACGTCTCGATCTCGTATGGCTGTGTCAAAGCTGAAACAGGGGGATCTTCGAACTCGATTCCATTAATTGAGGATATTTCCGTTGGTAGAGCAAAATTCAGATAATGTTCTTTAAATGTATCAGCAGATGTTGGCTCTGGCGCCGGGTCGTCGTCCACAGCTGACCTGAGATGATCAAATCGGAGGCAGTCGGTGTGTTCACCTAATGGATAACTTGAAAATGGGCAGTTGACAACCAGGCATCTTTCTGTCGGTGTGCAAGGTCGCTTGGACGTGGTGGGTTCTGCTTCTGGTGCTCCACTGTAGCGAAGAATAGCTTCTACCCTATGCAATTTAGTTTCAAGTGTTTCTGCCCGTATCCAGTAGTTTGTAGCACTCTGGTTTGCTGTTAAAATAAAGTCGTATCTTTCCCCTGGATTGATTATGAATGATTCTGCATCCACAGGTTTGACATCGTAACCATCTGATGCGACAAGTGTTAGAGGGTGATTGTCTACTGATACTCTAATGGGATATATTGCTCCAACATTTATAACCCTAAATCTATATGCTTCTCCTCGAACTACGGAAAACACTGACAGTGGAGCGCCATTGTTTTCTCCTGTCGTTGTGTTTGTGTAGTATCTACCTCTTCCGTTTATCAGAACAGAGGTAGCATAGAATGGATCGAAGAAACCACCATCGACAGATGTTCTTGTTTCCTCGGGTACTCGGTTCCAGAAATCGCCATACTTCAACTTAAGGTGATCCATATCGGCACCCCAGAAATGGTTCCAGTCCTGAACTGTCATGATATGTTCCTTCATTGTTTGGTCCCGTTCTCGTATCACCAGAGCTCCGTTGATTCCCTTGGTACGCTGATTGCCTACATGAGAATGATACCAGTAGGTTCCTGTTTGGTCGAGTGTGAAGTCATACGTGAACTTCTGGCCGGAGAGGATTGGACACTGTGTGACAAATGGGACACCATCCATCCACGGTGTTCCGCTCTGGTGAAGCCCATGCCAGTGAATTGTCAATGTGTCCGAATAAAGCATATTAATGACATGGATTATCAAGCGTTGTCCCTTGTACACAATGATCGGGGGACCGGAAAGAGTTTCATTGGCGACAACGACGAGTCTATTTTCCTCCCAGCCGTCAGCTGTCATAACTTCATCAGTAGGGATGGGAGTAGCTTTTGATGGATCAACTACGTCGTATTTGTAGATTTTGCCGTTATAAGGGTAAACTTGCTCCTCAACATCGCGCATCATCGTCAATCTTTTTTCGATCACTAAAGTCGTTTCACAAACAGAGGCTGCCCTATCACACTCATATCCGAGGCCAGAGCCAACGGACACAGCCAGGATAGCGAGAACGGCGAGGAAGACCTGTCAAATAGCAACGACATAATGACTTCAATTTATACCATTTAGTTTAGTTAAAAGTTTTCTGTGACGAAATTTGAGTTAAGTAAAATGATTGTTAACTGGATGTAAAAATTGCAAATACAATTATTATGTAATTATTTCTGACTAAACAAATTATACAGTTGAAACCTCTTTAAGCGACCACACACACTAGGCTGTTGAGAAGACTGGTTGTTATTTAGACAACCGTAGAATGACCATCATCTAAAGCGCGCATTCGTACATGTTTTTAGGTAGGTTTTTTATTCAGCATTTAGTGTGCTTGCAATGTTAAGATCATGTAGAGACGCTGAGAGCAAATAGAGATCGATGCCACTTTAAATTACTATCTCGGGGAAATGTTAACGTTGAAACGTTACAATGACACTCCAAACTCTGACAATGGACAAACAAGAGTTATATAAAAGACACTATCGCAATGAAGGAGCAGATGACCCCACACAAGTCACCGCATACGATCATGCAGAGGAATACAGCAGGTATCTTATTTCCCCGAACATGTGCTGGTGGTCTTTAAATAGGTTATTGACATGCCATAAAACATGCTCACCGCCATAAGGAATCCAAAACATGCCAATGTTTTTTTTTATTTTTTTATTTTTTTTTAAGTCGATAGGCACTTTGAATACCTAAATATATCTGTACTCTAGCTGTAATGGAATAAGACTACTGTTTGGAGAGTTACAAATATTTTGAAGTCAAGACGTTATCTCTAAATTATTTTTCACTTATTTTAGAAAGTGTTAACCAACACTACACTTATCAGAGAAGTTAAGAACCAACTAGTGCGTACATGCTTGATCTTAAAACGTTTATAAATGATCAAACTATTAGTATTCGTATGCTATAATTTCATCGAATTTCGCTGATTATTTTTGGCAATTTCATATGTGTGTTAATAAAAGTGTAACTATCAGCGGAGTAATGGATACCTAAATATTGTCTCATCACAATGATACCATTGTGACCTCATTGTACTTGAAAGCTATGGACACTTTTTAATCTGATGATAACCTAACTCAGTTGTCCCTTTACATATAGATACTAAGCAATGCTATTTCTGGTTATGGGCCACATGACTACCGTGACTACATGAACACACGTGTGCCATAGTTTTGTAACAACTGTTGTGTCGTCAGAGTTAAAACAATTCGACTTTACATTGAATACAATTATTAATAAGTTGTTAAGATGTTAAGCTCAAGATTTTATAATTTTAAAATATTGCTTCGCGATGTTTTGCTTACTTTTATTTAATGTGGTGAAAGGTTTATTTAAGTATAAACTTTGTTTATTTAATTTATTGTTACAATATGAAACAAGTTATTCCAACTTATAAATAAATAAAAATCACTCTTATTGGCCAAGATGTTAGTGCGCGGGGGTCTTAATCTGGAAGGAAACCAGAGTACCCGGAGAAACCCACGTGGGTAATTCATACAAATTCTATTTTAATTGTCTCTATTTCATAAAAGCAAAACTCTTTCAAATTAAAAACAAGTACCTTTTACGTCTTAAGACCTTCGCTAAAATCACGACGTTCAGTCTCATTTCATAAATATCTCGTATGAATAATACATTATTTATAAATGTATTGAAAAATTGCTTTAACAAATAAAAAGCAAGTGCTTAAACTTTTTCCGATCCGTAAGGTATGATAACGAAAGAAAATCATTTATCTACAGTTAAGTAATTTGATGGCTATAAAAACCATCTCATAAACATTTAAACAATTCGCAAAATCTTTGCAAAGGGAACAACTTTGAATAATCATTTAATATTAGTGAAACATGTTGTATAACAAATGCGTGTTAAAGGTATTTTTATATCTTGAAGGTATGCTATATACTTATCTTTGTTTTGTAAAGCAATTACGTATGGTTCTCTGAAGTGAATATATATTATATTATATCGAAATATGTTATGTACTAAATGTGCAAATGAATGACACATTGCAAATACTTTAATCAGGTTAATAATATGAAAGATTACTTATAAATTAAACATGCGATTGATAAATATTTTTTTTCATTGTACAACACATATCACATGTACGACTATAAAATACCTTTCATTTAATCGGTACTATTCTAGATCGATCTTGTATGTTATTAGGATTTGTATGATTTTAGGTTTTATTCATTTATATTTTTATTTTGGGTTTGTCCATGAATTAAGAGAATCTTTCAAATAAAACTGTTCGAAAACATTTGATTGATACAAAATAACTAAAGTTAATAATCAAAGGGTTTCAGTTTAACTTACCATTGCAGCAGAATGTCCAGAGTATTACTGTTTCCTTCTATGCTTCACCACTAGCAAATCACTCTCTGACGTTAAGCAGGTTTGGCATGCTTTGATGATACCCTATGTGGCTTTATCTATTTATATGGGACTTATTTGTTTATGTAAGGTCATCATGTTTACCAATGGTTTATCTAGTGACATATTATGAAATATCGAAATTGCACTGTTTCTCCCCTGGGATACTAAACAAAATGGATTTTTCAATACCAATACAATATTACCTTCTAATACAATTCTCTCCTCATATTTAATAGCAATGTTGAGGTACTTATATAAAAAAAAACATGTAATTCGTAAGTTGTCATCATCTTTCACAAAGTGTTATAATGTAACCTAGAGTTGTTTCATGTAGTCCAACGTGTCGTTATGTAGTATGTTTCGACTCCTAACGCTAGGCATTCCTTTTTTCTAAACTTGATACAATTTGTTTTATCGACGTTTTTATTGGCATGCATGTTTAATAAATCTAACGCTAAATCATAAGTTTCATGATTTTCCTATAGAGGCGAAGCCCGAGATTCCTCTAGCCCTGACACCAGATATAGACATTTTGACTTGTTGAGATGTCAGGTGTTAGACATCTAAGTCTGGTGTCGGGGCCATAAAAAACTCAGGTTAATAGAGACGTATACTTTATTATGTGGGACAGACTTAAATCCTTCAATCTCGTGGCCGTTTCACAAGAAAAACATATCGAAGTTATAACAAAATATCTTTTGGAACACACCAACCCTACAGAAAAATGTATTTTTGGTTAAAAAATATTGATGGTTATCAATGATTTCTTCGTGTTGATATTTTTGTTTCCAAGGGTCAATTTCCATCAAGACGAAAAATACCACAATATCACTGGAATTACTCTCGGCATTACTGCACTATATTTCGATGTACTAGCATCCTGGTGCAGATTAAAACGTGCACATTCATACGTTCAACTTACAACTTAACAAGTTAAACTATCCTAATCAATCTAGGGCTTTCTATTTTGCCATATATTCAATATATACGTTCTTAAATGGAGTTATCGCCTAATAACCTGACGCGAAAAACGGCATTGGAATTTAGTAACATAAATTCCATTTCTGACAACTCTGCATTTCACATTTAATGTGTTACTAATTAGTTCGTTGTAATTGCCGTTCTAGAACTTCTATCAGGGAGAAGCGTATCAATTACCTTACCTCAGAGCATCTCGGTTGTCTTGTACGGGTAAATGTGTGTCCCTAGATCTACGATAGATCTTCGCCTCCAAAAGACTTTTAAGTTGATTTATTCCATGCACATTTTTACGATTCAAATATTGTTATGAACAGCATTTTTATTTATTTTTGAAAATTATAAATGCTTTTTTCAATGTAAGTATCGTTAAAAGATTATTGCATTTTCAGAAATAGTTATTGTACAACTGCTTGTGTTAACACAATTCGTCCTACACATTATTTAATTTATTATGCATAGCTTTATCATTCTGCAACCTGAATGATCATCAAGCAAATAATGTTAAATTTAAGACTTTACTAAAAAATAATCAAGAGTATAACTATTAAGGAAAAGTCACAAGCATATGCTTACAATATTGAACTGATAAAAGGGAAGACACATCAACATGCTTTCAGTATTCGTATTCCAGAAATACCATAAAGTAGCAGATATATCATGTCTTAAAAACAATGCGTCAAATTATATGAAAATATTTTCATATCGAAACACATCACACAATAACTAAGGAGACAACGAACGTCAATGTTGACAGAAATAACGATGTAACTTAATATCTGTTGGACTCAATGTTGGATAATGGGTTAATGTAAGTCGAAATGTGAATAATGAAAGATAACGTTTGATCAATGGTCGTGAATTCCTTACTCGATAGCTGAAATTCTGCACATCACACTGACTCTAGGTGACTGTGTGGTACTTGAAATGTCTACATAACAGGATTGTTTCAAAATGTGTACATACTGTTTTACATGCACACTAATGCTAACTTAGTAAGAATCAGGTCACGTGACTACCGCGTTATGCAGTGTATACACGATGTCATAGCATTAGCTCCAGGTATAATATACTCATGAAGATGTCATATTTAAGATAATTTTACGTCGCATTTAGGTAAAAACATATTACGTCACAATGGCGAGATTGATTTGTTGATTGTGGTGGAAGAAAACATATTTTCGCGAATATTCGTAGACATCTAGGTTATGTGATACAAGGTTAAAAAAGTACATGTATTGGATATGTTTCTATTAAACATTCATAAAGTAAATATGAAATCTATCAAAAATCAAATCAGCATCAGGAGAATCCAGAAGTTTTCAAACAAACAAAATATTTTCACAACAAAATGACCTTATTTGTTTTATAACAATTTTGATTTTCTTTTAAATCATATTGATCATAAGGAAGAACAGAGGGGTATTTAGATAAAATGGTACGAAATCAGAATACAGAAAAAAAGTATTATATTGATAGGCACCATTAATTATATAATACAAACATGACTATTGCCAATACTCGAACGGTAGACTCTTGTTTCACGTCTGTAATTTATTTTGATGTGCGGCGGACTCGAGATTGCAATTAAGTAAATAAAAGATCCTTACTAAGTAAACATTCTAAGATCACTAATGAAACGCGGAATGTGTTTGTATAAACTAATATGCAGGTACAAAGTTTGAGGCCAGGTATACGTGACAACACTCATTTGCGGTTGTATAAATGTTTTGAGGTAAATATAAACGTGTGCAAACGGCTTGATGGTGTAAACTTTTTTTGCCATAAGCTTTTAAATTAGCTGTCCAACAATCATCCAAGATAACAAATTATTCATTTTCTGCAAAGGTATGTGTTATTTGCTGTAAACATAGTTGAAGGTTTAAATTTTATACTAGATTTGAACATCCCGGAAACGGCTTTTGTCACGTACACAAACATGGTAGCATGCCGAACTTCAAAGAAACGTTGCAAAGATTTACTGTTCGGAGTTTGTATACGATCCATCCGGATCTGGCTGTATATTGTCTTCAATTCGAAAACAAACCAAAACATCTGCACCACACGTACCATTATTTACAGTTAAGACTGAGGTAACCTACATGTTATATTTATTCTATATAACAATAAGAAGAGCTGCTCAGCAAGCAACAAGATCTCTGAATAGGTTACATCATATCAGAAAAACAATATTACAAAATCAAAATCCATTGCATAAAACTCAATTATCTGGAAAAAATACGTATATGGCAATTCAATCAGATATCATTTGGATTAATATTTGTTCAAATTGAATACATTTGATTTGTTTGACCTGAATAACAAAGATTTAACAATCAAAGATATTCTTAATGTTCCAAAATGGTAAGTGTCTTCTGCTTCGTCGACGACACGTCATGATATAAAAATCGTGTCCTTCATATCACACAAGAATCCCTTTGAAACTTGCTGTAGTCTTCATTACCTTGCCTATTTGGAGACTCAGTGTTGTAAGTTTGTCGGTCAGCAGACGCCATATATCACAGAAGTAATGGTATTCGGAGCAAGCTCCTGAATACCGAATCAACTGTAAATACCGTAGGTTCGGACAGCAGTGATGTTACAATCAAGATCGGCTAGTCAACATTTTCCCGCTATTCGTACAGCTTAGAAGTAAGGCATCCCGTCATAAAACTTGCTAGATTGGTCAGTCAGATACACGAGAAATGGTGAATGTAAGCCTTTTATTATATAAATTTAATATCATGCATTTCTACGGCTCTTTATACATTTTTGAAACATGCGTATAAGGCCGGTAACTCCGACAAATGTATTCCATTTATATGTGATGGTCTCAAAACTGACATTTAAATTGTACAATAATGAATGTAATCTCGAGTTGTGGTTGAGCTTACACACAACAAACAAACACATTTTCTTTTATGTTAATATTTTCATATACCAGTTATCGCCTGTCGCTAGTCTAGCCACCACCAATCTACTAGTCGTCTCATTATCAAGCTAGTTTCCCCAGTAATCCAGCCGTCCCACAATCAAACCATTTACGCTGGTGACGAAGATGGCTGAATCATCGACAAGCCGCTAAATACTTCATTTAGTATTTTGTATTCCCGGTGATTGACTGTTATACATGTACCTGTCGACAGTTACCATTGATGGCAACCAGGTCTCCTGGACTAGCGAGGTCAAAGGTTACTGATACTTCCGGCGAAAATGCCCGGAGGTCAAACACATAAGTTGTCCTTATGTAAATGCCTTATACCAGAAACTGATATTGATTTTAATGCCAAGAGAAAAACCATAAAGCCTTTTAAGATGTGTATGATTTTTTTAGATTGACTTCAATTTGCTTAGTACAAAGTGAGCACTACTCTTGTTCAAACTTCATGATAGCATGCTGTACATCGACCATCGTTCAATCACCAGGTATATAGAATCGATCAGGCAAGACATATTTCTAAAATAAGTATAGTCCGTTTAATGTTGTATTATAAGGAGTGTGTCTTACGTCGGTTGTTTGTTTGTTTTCATTTGAGCAGAGACATATCACCCCTTGGTAAATACAATGGTGGTTTAATAAACTTGTAAAGGGGCATCACGTGAAGAGCCATATTGTTTTTAATGAATGTTTGTGTTGTATACACGTCCACTTATGTTATCTTGCTATCCCCATATTCATAGTTCGTTCCAAATTAATGTCCAGTTTGACCACATGAATTGTTCGGGAAAGCCCTAATAAAATGGTGCCAATAACGTCACATAACGGTTTTGAAACGAGGCAGTTAACACAGGTGGTTTGACCGAGATGCAAAGTTTCCAAAGGGGCCCCCAGTCATGAGGGACCGTCAGGCAACTGCAACCTTTTACCGCACTATGAAACCAAGTAATATGATTTCGAAGTCCGTGTTGAAACTTATTGAATTCCCTTAGCAGTACTTTTCATCATCAGAAGTTAATTGCACACATGCCATTATTCAAAATTCAAATGTAGAAATATGTGTTGGCCTCCCGGCATTATTTATAGATTCCAGGAAATATCTATTACCGGAATGTGACCGGTACAAATGGATACGGGGCTGAACACCTTCCTTCAATCATTGGACAGATCTTTCTGTAAAATGGAATATTCACGAGACGAATATCCTATTTAAAATGTTTTCATAAAGTGTATTGTCAAGTATAAAAAAAGAGAGAAATGGCCTTTTTTCTAGACCATCCATATATATATATATATCCATGTATACCCTCTTTCCCACTTTTACTGTCTTCATACGTTAACACTTCGTAATCATATAAGCCATCACAAACAATTAACAATTAACAATTAACATCTGACAAAACCACTACGTGAACATGTAGAATATGTGTCGGATATGGAACGTGTTGAGGTGCTTGATAATGACATGTTTTCAATACTTTACAGATATTAAAGCATACTTGTTAATGGACCCTTATTATGATGAGACAACTTTTCTTTAATCAGTATCTTTTGTCCGAAACAGAAGCCGTAGTTATCGGTAGCACGCCCCATTTTTATAACGAAAACAAATGACTTCCCCCCCCCCCCCCCCCCCCCCGTTTTCAATGCGTATTCCGCTTCTATCTCGAAGTCGAAAATTAATCATTTATAGACAAAAGTTGTTGCATGATCATACATTCAAAGTCTACATCATGTGAAAACATAAACGGTTAAAACATTACGATTAAAAGGTTTTTTTTTGTTATGCGATCCTATTTACTATAAGGGGTTCCCAGTTATTCATCTTGACCCGTAATTTTGATATACTTAAATCTTGCATGTGAATACAAAATTGTTTACTTCAGCAATATAATTAAATCATACCATTTTACTGAACCCGGGAATATTGTTAATTATGTAAATCTAATAGCGCACGTATCTCCTTTGACCCCGAGTACCGACAGCGAAGAAGACATCACAACATGTACAGTTACCCCTTGGAGGGCCCCATAGCAAAATCAAACTGACCAGTCACTTTTCCCTTCCACTCGCATAAACTACTGTATATAGAAACGCAACGTAAACTCTCTCCGATACATGCCTATTACCATAACAAAATAAGTTCATCTGTGTTCCAACTTAGACAAAGATACTAGCGATGTTAATATTTTTAGATATTTATTCTTAATATAAACAGCATTTCTGTCGATTTCATTTCAGCTTTATACCGGCTAACCGGAAGAATACATAAACCGTACCAACTGCCCTAAATATTTTCTCCTTTGAATACTTCTGTAACGTAATCCTTGCGCCATCTTTTAACCATTTGGCAACGTTTCGCTACGTAGCTGACGCGGTAACNCCCCCCCAATGAAATGGTGTGTTATGCGCATACGCTAGAAGAGGGAAATCCTTGAACAAAACGTTGGTCAGACTGCAGGTCGTTAAATTCTCTTGCAAGCAATTTTCAGACCACGAAATATAACCTTCTGTATTGCACATGTGCAATACGGAATGTTTTATTTACCTACTAGCCGGAACAACTTTTTATGGGAATCCCCTTGTCATGACGAACTGAAAAGTTCACGGTATTTGCAAAACATATCAACGTTTATAAAATCTTTGTTTCGACAAGACCACACTCTTGTGTTATTCTAACGAATCAGAAAGCTCAAGTGTATTGACCAGACGAATATATTCACGAGTGCGCGGATGTGGTCTGGCATATATATCAGCCAAATGACCGTTGTTTTCATAAGGAGACTCACTTGATATGTTTATGTAGTATTTAAAACAAATATATGCTTCGCCGTGATGTCCCTTTAATGCATATGATAATTTCGCTGATGTTTTATTTACCCATTTGTTGGTTTTTCAATATATTCAAATTTGTAAATATCACTCAGGGATTAAGAAAGTCTTACTTTACATAAAGTGTGTTTACAATTTTTGTAATTTATTTTGGACATTATTAAGCTGTAAGTACCACACTCGCCTCTCACCAAGACGGCTGGGTTTCGACTATCCGATCGGCCTTTCAACCAGACGGCTGGGTTTCGACTCTGTCATCGGACATGAATAGATATTGCGTCACCTGCACGACAACGTGGGTTTTCTCAGCAGTACTCAGGTTTACTCCAACATAATGTTTCTCTGAGTCTTTTCCTTCGGGCCAACATAAAATATCAATATCAGTTGATATATAAATCTTTACATTTTTTTATGATGAGTTGTACGCAATATACGCAGGTTGTTTATATCCACACAGTTCACTGATTGATATACACATGAAACGTTACTGTTACATAGAGGTTCCCCAACCAGTGTTGGCTGGTTATCATGTTGATCTAACTCTCGTAAGTTGATTTTCAAATTGTAAAGGACACTTGTTTACCGAGTGTCTTTTACAATTTCAAAACTAACCAACGAGAGTAAGATAAACATGATGATCAACCAACACTGGCTGGGGACCTTTTTCTCCCGCAACGTTCACATATTCTATTAAGAAAACCATGAGCTTCTCTTGGGAACAATGTTTACGGTGAAACAACTACCATGAACTATGACCTTGCAAAGCACTGTTACTTGACGTCATTATTAGAAAATTGACCAATGGAATAATGTCCAGGATGTTACCCAACTTTTTTACCAACTCCTAGCAAGGTTGCTAGATGAGTCTGGAGTGAGGAAATCCATTGTGGTTGTGGGAGAATAAATGTTCTTGTTATGTCAGAAAAAAATTGTGCTGAGTACTACTTGGTTAATCTCGAAGTCGAGATTTATTTAGGTCCGGAGAGAGATCAGTAGTATGACGGACAGTGGTGCCTAGGGGGTCAACAGTATCTGAACACACAACATTTTCACGTCTGGATAGGCTTATGAATGAATTAAGGCAGTCAAGTGAAAACCGTTGATAATAAAATTGAATCAGGATAAAAATTAAACAATTTCTGATACTGGCAATCAGTTATTTTGTCGTTAACTAGCTCCTCAACAGATCTGCCATGCACCCTTTACATGTTTGCTGGGAATGGACGGACTGTACCTTACACCCCCTCCAGCCACTTGCAGTACACACGTGACCCACGCTTCGTTTCACATTCAGCACATATGCATTGGATCCTTTCGTAAGACAAAACTTAGTGGTAAACGACTGTACCGAGCTGTACTGACTACTACGGAAGGTAGGTTTACTTTTATTTACACTATCCTAATTAATTTCAAGCAATATTTACTTATTCTAGAATACTTATATTGAAAGTTTGCAAGATCGGTTCATTTAGGATTCAAGAAATAACAAGAACGTGTGTAAAAGTAACACATATACATTCCGTATTTTGAAGTAAATTAAGCCATGTATGTGATTTGAATGTTTTTAAATGTTTTATGCTTGGTGCAATGTTTTAGAATCCCATTGAAGGTAACCACAGGTGAAAAAACTCGCGTAAAAAATACTATATGAGCCGACTCCCTTGTTTGTCTATATATTTTTTTTAATTTGTCTTAGTCAAAACAACTCAAAAGTATTTTACTCTGCCACCGTATTGCTTTTATTTTTGTTCTACAATCACTGTTGCTATATTCTTATTGGCTTATACTTAATCTTGCAAATAACAACACGAGTAGCTCAGAATATAATTTGTTAACGCTGTGGATTTCTTTATGTAACATATATGACCTATTTTAGGGTACACACACCCATGTGTGTCCTGCTTTCATCATTCTACTTATCAACCTCATTCAATATTATAAACAAAGTCCAACACGAAAGGCTATACATCTATATTTGTTTAAAAAATATTATACGAGCCGACTCCCTTGTTTGTCTGAAGTGATTTGAGTAATTTCATGTACCATAAATAATTTACCAATATTCAATTACAAAAACCCCCAAAAACCCCCACACTTTGTAAGATGGAAAATACTTCTAAATGATATATAAGCAAGTCTTTACTTATATAAATAAATCATGATGAAGGAAAATAATTGAGGTGGAACATTACCCTTAAAGACGCCCCGGTAGCTATGGATAGCCTTCTGACACGGTTTCCAAAATATTGTTTTTGCGTTTCACAATAATCACGGAGGTGGTATGTATCACTGAGCTGTGTAATTGGAAATAAGAAAGAAGGCTAAACCAGACAAACATTTTACACTGTTGGCGACATTTTGATCTATGTACTAAATCTACCTTTTAATTATTATTGACTTGGGGTCTTTTTGATTGGTTGATCTGTTGATTGGAGAGTAACTATATTTCTATACAGAAATAGTACAAGTACACGTATCCTTCTCAACAGGTGAAACTTGTTTGTAAATGTTAACCGGACTAGATATATCTGATAAAACGTCTATATATCATTTCGCGAATGTCGAAACTTTGGGTAAACTCAAACGACATGCTAAATAAAAGTCAATGGGAAATCTTGGCGAGACAATGGAGACTTATTTCATATGTCTGTCAATGTAGACCTTCTATGCGAATTTAGCCTTTAACAGAAAAAACTGAAATGGTATAATTGTGAGTAAACTTATGTATTTCCCATGAATATAACAATTTACATGGATTAGATCATTTTCTGTCAATGGCTTTTTTTCTATACAACGAGAACACAACGCCCCTTAGTGACTTTTGTAGATATTTCAAAACATTCATAGTTTTGCTCGTTAAGAACGTTAGATTGTGCAATGATTAAATAAATTAATAATTAACAGACATATTAGTATATTTATATTTCGATACTTTGCACAAAAGTGGTACAAGAGTACATACATGTATTATGCTATCAATGGGATTCATTCGGATGACGAATAAATAAAGGTTGTGGAGGTATATATTGACTGTATCCGTCGACGGAAGGTAAAACCTTAAAACTCTTTATCTAAAATTACACCTGTTCAATGCCATACAGTTGCTTTATAATATCGTAATGGTCCTGTGCTCTTCGCTGTCTCGTTGCTCAAATCGTCTATTTCATTGCGGCGTTGTCTCCATGGATACCTCTTGTCAGCCAATCGTCACCATAATATGATTGTATGGAACCGTGTGCAATTGAGTCCAGATTATGAATTGTTTAATATAAACTTTATTTATTTTACAACAATTATGAAACAAACTTATATAAATCACTCTTGATGGCCTGCATGTTAGCGCGCGGGGTCTTAATATTGGAGGGAACCGGAGTACCCGGAGAAAACCCACGTGTTCGGGCAGGGTCCCCATACCTTTTCACGTCTGATCGTGGAATCGAACCGTGGCCGCCTTGGTGAAAGGCAAGAGCGCTATCCACTGAGCCGCCTGACCAACCTTATATACTATTTAGTAAGAAGACTCTCCAAAGGAAGTTTTGAGTTACTCAATCAAATGTGGACACTGTCTTCATATGACTTAACCTGTTGCGTCAACATAAAACTCTACACACAGAAAGTGTTTAGTATAATGGTTTCAAATACATGCCGATTAATCTAAAATAGTGATGTATCATCGATATCCTTGTCTGTTCATGTTTGTTATCCTTTGTCTGTGTCTGTTGGTGTTGAGATATATTTTGTCCTTGGCTGTTGATGCTGTGGTATATTTTGTCCTTGTCTGTTGATGCTGTGATATATTTAGTCCTTTTCTGTTGACGCTGTTGTATATTTTGTCCTTGTCTTTTGATGTTATAATATATTTTGCCCTTGTTGGTAGAGGCTGTTGTGGTATATTTTGTCAGTGTCTGTTAATGCTGTGGTATAGATTGTACTTGTCTGTTAATGTTGTGTTTATTTTGTCCTTTTCTGTTGATGCTGTGGTACATTTTGTCTGTTAATGTTATGATATATTGTGTCCTTTTCTATTGATGCTGTGGTTATTTTGTCCTCTTCTGTTAATGCTGTTGTAAAGATTGTCCTTGTCTGTTGATGGTGTGGTATAGATTGTCCTTGTCTGTTAATGTTATGATATATTGGTTATTTTGTCCTGTCTGTTAATGCTGTTGCATATATTGTCCTTGTCTGTTTATGTTATGATATATTGGTTATTTTGTCCTTGTCCGTTAATGCTGTTGTATAGCTTGTCCTTGTCTGTTAATGCAGTGGTTATTTTGTCCTTGTCTGTTACTGCTGTTGTATATATTGTCCTTGTCTGTTAATGCTGTGGTTATTTTGTCCTTGTCTGTTAATGTTATGATATATTGGTTATTTTGTCCTTGTCTGTTAATGTTGTTGTATAGATTACCCTTGTCTGTTAATGCTGTTGTATGGATTACCCTTGTCTGTTAATGCTGTTGTATATATTGTCGTTGTCTGTTAATGCTGTTGTATAGATTGTCCTTGTCTGTTAATGCTGTGGTTATTTTGTCCTGTCTGTTAATGATGTTGTATATATTGTCCTTGTCTGTTAATGCTGTTGTATATTTTGTCCTTGGCTGTTGATGCTGTGGTATATTTTGTCCTTGTCTGTTGATGCTGTGATATATTTAGTCCTTTTCTGTTGACGCTGTTGTATATTTTGTCCTTGTCTTTTGATGTTATTATATATTTTGCCCTTGTTGGTAGACGCTGCTGTGGTATATTTTGTCATTGTCTGTTAATTTTGTGGTATAGATTGTCCTTGTCTGTTAGTGTTGTGTTTATTTTGTCCTTTTCTGTTCATGCTGTGGTACATTTTGTCTGTTACTGTTATGATATATTTTGTCCTTTTCTATTGATGCTTTGGTTATTTTGTCCTCGTCTGTTAATGCTGTTGTGAAGATTGTCCTTGTCTGTTGTTGGTGTGGTATATTTTGTTCTCGTCTGTTGATGCTTTGGTATACTTTGTCTGTTAATGTTATGATATATTGTGCCCTTTTCTGATGATGCTGTGGTTATTTTGTTCTTGTCTGTTGATGCTGTTGTGTAGATTGTCCTTGTCAGTTAATGCTATGGCTATTTTGTCCTAGTCTGTTAATGCTGTTGCATAGATTGTCCTTGTCTGTTAATGTTATGATATATTAGTTATTTTGTCCTTGTCCGTTAATGCTGCGGTATAGATTGTCCTTGTCTGTTAATGTTATGATATATTGGTTATTTTGTCCTGTCTGTTAATGCTGTTGTATAGATTGTCCTTGTCTGTTTATGTTATGATATATTGGTTATTTTGTCCTTGTCCGTTAATGCTGTTGTATAAAATGTCCTTGTCTGTTAAGGTTATGATATATTGGTTATTTTGTCCTTGTCCGTTAATGTTGTTGTATAGATTGTCCTTGTCTGTTAATGCTGTGGCTATTTTGTCCTTGTCTGTTAATGATGTTGTATATATTGTCCTTGTCTGTTAATGTTATGATATATTGGTTATTTTGTCCTTGTCCGTTAATGTTGTTGTATAGATTGGCCCTGTCTGTTAATGCTGTGGTATATATTGCCCTTATATGTTGATGCTGTTGTATAGATTACCCTTGTCTGTTAATGCTGTTGTATATATTGCCCTTGTCTGTTAATGCTGTTGTATAGATTGTCCTTGTCTGTTAATGTTATGATATATTGGTTATTTTGTCCTTGTCTGTTAATGTTGTTGTATAGATTGGCCCTGTCTGTTAATGTTGTTGTATAGATTGTCCTTGTCTGTTAATGCTGTTGTATAGATTGTCCTTGTCTGTTAATGCTGTTGTATAGATTGTCATTGTCTGTTAATGCTGTGGTTATTTTGTCCTGTCTGTTAAAGCTGGTGTATAGATTGTCCTTGTCTGTTAATGCTGTGGTTATTTTTTCCTTGTCTGTTAATGCTGTGGTATATTGGTTATTTTGTCCTTGTCTGTTAATGCTGTTGTATAGATTGCCCTTGTCTGTTAATGCTGGGGTATATTTGTGTTATCCATTAGCTCTATGGTACCTTTTGACAATTGTACATTACTGGTACCTGTACTCAAACTCTGCACATTTCATTTTTAATGTAAAGTGTACTAGGAACGAACTAACTATCGACGTTTTGAATGTGCTTGATGCATAAAACATTAGACGTTACACAGTTCTAAAACATACTACATATGTTTTTCTGTAAATACATTATCATTGAACAATTTATCATGCAGCAAAAACGCAACCAATGACAACCAAGTCATAGTTAAACAACAACTAACTTAGGTAAACAAATGGTTTGTCTTACAAGAAAAATCATGCAATAGGCCTAACTCTGCGAATGACTTGCCAAACATATACCATCTTGTTCTAAAATGACTGCAAACAAGACTCTAAACAGAATGTTTATGCCAAACTAACATAATCTTTCAAGGTAAAATATTTCAAAGGATATTTAATATGAGTAAACTATAACAACATGACAGTTCAGGTAATTACAATCTAGGTTTAGAGTGTTTGATGTTTATTCTATATCCTATACTGTACAAATATGTTTAAATATATAAGTACTGCCTTTTAGCAATGGTTTATAAATAATTTGAAGTTAACTCGAGTGTGATCTATGGTGGTTGATATGTAGATTCTCCAGATCACATTTTATCAAACGTTTGTCAAATGTGAACAGTGGTAAAAATATTAGCTTTGTCTTTGATAACCCCATATCCATTATGAGTCAGTAATATGATACATCAATGACGTGATTCAATTTAGGGGAACAATAAAAAATACGTTTTTCGATATAAAGAGTAAGAGTGATGTTATAGGTTTTAACTTAGGAAAACCTTGCAAGGGAATGCAAACCGATATCAAACGTTTGATCATTTTAACAGAATTCAACTCACGGAACATTAAAAAGACAACAATTTAAGCTATATGAAAAAAGCGATATCATATAAGGTTTTACTTTGGTGACAGGGCAAGTGAATGCCTTCGAATATACGGATTATATTTTTTTTTTTATAGAATTTAACTAAGGGAAGATTACAAGACAGAGTTTTCATATATATAATGGTTTGAATAATATGAATTGTTTCACTTTTAGGAAACCAGGAAAGGGAATGCCTTACGTTATAAAGATTAAGAGCATTATTATATGTTGTATTTTAGACGCGCATGACAGGTAAACGACTTACAATATAAAATGTGAAAGTATTGTTAAAGAAACTACCTTTGGGGAGCATTACAGGCGAATGCCTACCGATATACAGTTAAAGTATTTATTTAGTATTGGTTTAACTCATGGGAACATAATAAGGGGACACATTCCGATACGAAAGGCTAGAGCATTATTATAGGGTCTAAACTATGGAACATTAAAACTGAGCATCTTCAGGTATATAAAGGTCATAATATGTTCAAAGGTTTTCTATTTGGGAACATGGTAAGAGAACGCCTTCACCAATATCATTTAAAAACAATGTTATGGATAATAGAAATTACCTTCAGGGTATCAGGTTTCAGGATTCAAGGATCATTTCAATCTTGTGAGAAAAGAATTTCATTATTCTTGTTCTGCACAACTAAAATGTGCGACAGTGATCGATATTGATTTAAAGTTTCAAAACTTATTTTGAAAATTGGTCGAATATTCAAAATGGTCAATGTGGTCTCGGATAAGACATATTCTGATAATTCCATAAGCAATATTTCAAAGTGCATTCAGTGCAAAAGAGTCACTCTTAAATTTATGTATAGACTTTTACTTTTATTTCAAATATCAACACCAGATTCTCACTACGGGATAAGATCAAGGTAACAAATGACGATTTCAAAAAAATACTTTAACTGACCTTCATGTTAGTTCATATACAGGATAGGGTATCTGGGACAATTCAATGGCAAAACTACCATTCGGAATACACTTTTCTTTCTCCTTTAGTTCCATCAAGTAAATATTCAAATAATTGACTAGTAAGAAGCTGGAATCAAGGCTGACAAGTTTGGAACAGCTATGTAGGTCAAATGGAGAGGCAATTGAGCCATAATTCTTGTTTGTTGTTTGCTTAATGCCTAGCGAAGTGAAAAGTTGACCTACATTCTTGAACCGTATGCAGTGGATTATTTTAATGATATTGTATCTGTTGCATGCAGCGGTAGCATCAGCTTCGATTCAAGGTCACAATAACATGTAATAGATCATGTGATAGACTAGTACATGTTCAGGCTTGTGGATAGGAACAATAACCTGCCATAGTCCATGTGGTAGACTAGTTCATGTTCAGGCTGGTGGATAGGGACAATATTCTGACACAGACCATGTGATAGACTAGTACATGTTTAGGCTAGTGAATATGGATAACAATAACATGACACATACCATGTGATAGTCTAGTACATATTTAGACTGGTGGATAGGGACAATAACCTGACACAGACCATGTGATAGTCTAGTACATATTTAGACAGGTGGATAGGGACATGAACCTGACACAGACCCTGTGATTGACTAGTACATATTAAGACTGGTAGATAGGGATATGAACCTGACACATACCATGTGATTGACTAGTACATATTTAGACTCATGGATAGGGACATGAACCTGATACATACCATGTGATAGACTAGTACATATTGAGACTGATGGATAGGGACATGAACCTAACACAGACCCTGTGATTGACTAGTACATATTTAGACTCATGGATAGGGACATGAACCTGATACATACCATGTGATAGACTAGTACATATTTAGACTGATGGATAGGGACATGAACCTAACACAGACCCTGTGATAGTCTAGTACATATTAAGACTGGTAGATAGGGACATGAACCTGACACAGACCATGTGATTGACTAGTACATATTAAGACTGGTAGATAGGGACAATAACCTGACACAGACCTTGTGGTAGACTAGTATATGTTTAGGCTGGTGGATAGGGACATGAACCTGACAAATACCATGTGATTGACTATTACATATTAAGACTGGTAGAAAGGGATATGACTTGATACATACCATGTGGTAGACTAGTACATGTTTAGACTGGTGGATAGGGACGATAACCTGACACAGACCATGCGATAGACGAGGACATGTTTAGGCAAGGCTAGTGACTGTAACATGAAAAATAAATATCTCTTGAAAGTTCGAGTTTCAATGAATATGTGTAAGATGACTTAATGCATGAAGGGCTCAGTCGGGTACGGGCAAGAACAACGTCGTCTCTATGTATTTCTCTACAATTACGACATGCTTTCATCAATGACATACCTTATATAGTTCAATTTACTACATTTTTATTCTAAATAGTTTGCCGTTCTAATCTTATAACCGTTTTTATCAGCGGCTTGAAATATACAAAATCAAATTCCTAATCAACAGGTGGTGGCGATTAATTGTCGTCATTTCCGTATTGCGTATCGGGCATTTCAATACCGTAGTGTAAATAACAGAAACACCGGGTAAACAATATTACACCTGCGTGACGATGATATGTCAACTTCTGATATCGAGACTTAACTGTGAAATGCGTAACCACACGTATATACAAATATAGATTCCGATAAAAAGACAAAAACTGACTCATGGAAAGAACTGACATGTGATCAGACGACTTCACGAAGGTCATATATGAAGCGCATGGAATACGGACTGATGCGCTACGATTTTCGGTATCGAGCGAGTTACGCTCTGTCGAGTAAATAGTTATTATAAAAGCAGTGTTAAAATTGTATCATGTTTGCTTTTAGCTTGTAGATAATCACTTTTATTCGTACAATTTCAATAAAAACACTTTGTGTAGCGTGTTTTATACATTTTGTGATAAATACAATATGTGTAGGGTTAGTTAGCAATGCTTCTTTTCATTTTTATATTGTTGTTAAAAAATGAAAAAATATTAAGATTGGTGAACACTTTTTTTCTTTTTCTTTTCTTAAAATCTGCAGTCTACCGGAATGCTTAGATTTTCCTTAAATCGCCTCTACATAGTTGCATAACTATTATGTGAACGTTTCAACGAATTCCTCTGGTTAATTGCGAAAGGACTGAGCCTCCTTAAATGAAATTGGTCTCACAATCTGGATATGCACTTTCCATTATTGCTATTTCCAAATGTCTTGGACCCTAGCATAAAACGATATGACACTTTGAAGTTATATTATCTGACAATGTTAATATTGACTGATACATTCATTAAATGGCTATTGTAAACGCCTTTCTAAAATTCATAGAATATATAATTCATTTCGGTGCAGTATTTGTTATATGTTTAAGGGTGAGATTGTATCATGGGCTTTTGCAGAGAATATTAATGCGTCATTTGTTAGCTCATCTCTTTCGTAGTCATGGCAGAGGTGAAAGTATGATCATCTTTCAAACATCAGTATAAAATTATTGGAAAATTATCATTTAACTGATGTCTCGAAAAGCAAATTCAACAGTCATGAAGTTTTACAAATTATGTAAGAAATCTGGACATTGTGGATATAAATTTGGGCATATTCAAAAGGGATGGAACTCGAATATCAATACTTTGAATATAGGTGTTTTTTTTGAAATGCAGTTTTATAATTTAGATTTAGTACGGGTGAATCAATTTGATTTTAATAATGTAATTATATTTAAATGCATAATGCTATAATAGTTTCTCTCGACGATTATATAACGATGGCTCGTTTGCTTCCATGTAGACAATCGATCCATCGTCAAGTTTAGATGCGTCAGACATGCGTTTTGATAATTGTCAATTTAATAGATTTTGTCCGGTAAAGGAAAGTGATTAATAAACATGTTCATGTATATATATATTTCTGTTTTCTATAGATGGGATTCATCATTTTCACCATTGCTGTCCTATTGACATTTGCCTTACCCAGCTCTGAATATGAATGTGACAAGTCCGCCACGCTGTGTGAGACCACGCTGGTGATCCAACATAGGCTAACCATGATGCACCCTACCGCACAACAAGTCTTTCCAGCCAATGGTAAACTCTACAAATATGACGACCTGACACAAACTACAGAAATACCAGTGGATGAAGTAATGACTACCGATGGTTGGGAGGATAACAGACTGGTTGTTGTAGCAAACGAAAGTCTTCCAGGCCCTCCAATTATAGTGTATGAGGGACAAAGACTTAAAGTTCACGTCATCAACAAAATGACTTCAGATACTGTGACTATACACTGGCACGGTATTCCTCAAAGACGAAGCCCTTGGATGGACGGTGTTCCTTTTGTGACACAATGCCCAATCTTGTCTGGACAGACGTTCACATATGACTTCATTGCTGAACCTAAAGGAACGTATTGGTACCATTCCCATGTCGGTGATCAGCGAGCGAAAGGGATGAATGGTGCATTCATCATTAGAGAGAGGACATCAGTTATCAGGGAACAGATTATGACGGTACAAGACTGGAACCATAACTGGGGAGCCGATATGGATCACCAAAAATTGCTGCTTGGAACTTTTGTGAATCGTGTACCAGAACCACTGAGGCAATCTGTAGACGGGGGTCTTTTTGACCCATTCTATGTAACTTCAGTTCTAATCAATGGTAGAAGCCGTTATTACAACAAGTCCGGTCAACATAATGGTGCTCCTTTGTCAGTTTTCCATGTGGAAAAAGGAATGGACTACAGGTTTAGGGTTATCCACGTCGGAGCTCTATATCCCATTAGAATATCAATTGACAATCATGCTATTACTCTTGTCGCTTCAGACGGATACGATTTCCAACCAGTAGAGGTAGAATCTTTCATCATCAACCCAGGTGAAAGATACGATTTCATCATCAATGCCAATCAAGTCATTGGAAACTACTGGATAAGAGCTGAAACCCTAGAAGTTAATGCACATAAATCTGAGGCCGTTCTCCGCTATAATGGTGCAGATGTGTCCCAATACCCTTTAACGACTAGGAAAATATGCACTCCTGCTGAGAGATGTTTAGTTGTCAACTGTCCTTTTACAACCTTCCCTGCTGACTATTACACCGACTGTTTACGGTTTGATCATCTTCGGTCCTCTGTGAACAACGACCCTGCGCCCGAACCGACATCTCTGGACACATTCAAAGAACACTATTTGAACTTTGCTCTTCCTGATGAAGTTGCGTCAGTAAACGGAAGAGAGTTTATGAATCCCACAGTGTCTGCACTTACACAGCCATTAGAGATTACGTCCACATGCGACAACGTAGACTGCGGTGAGGAAAAAACATGCAAATGTACATATTCACTTCCCACTACCCATAACGATGTAGTGCAACTTGTACTGATGAATATGGGGGTAGGGACAGGTGACGCCCATCCAGTTCACCTCCATGGTTATTCATTTTACGTGCTGAAAATGGGATATGCTACTTATAATATGACTACCTCAAAGTTCATATCCCAAAACAATGACATCGATTGTCGCGGAAGTGGGGACATGACAACAAGTTTATGTAACGACGCTTCATGGAGAAATTCTAGTTGGCTTGGAAATAACGTCCCTGGACTGAATCTTATCAATCCTCCGCGGAAGGATACTCTGATTATACCTAGTGGTGGCTACGCTGTTATCAGGATCAAGGCTGATAACCCAGGTGTATGGCTATTTCATTGTCACATCCAAGTGCACGGAATCTTCGGAATGAGAATGGTCCTCAATAGCTCATACAACATGCATCCAGCACCTCCAAAATCATTTCCTGTGTGCCGTGACTATCCTTCTTCCTTTCGTGAAGACTATGTTGACCAGCATCAGAGTGGTGACCAGGATCAGAGTACCCCCAGTGTCAACAAAGTGAAACAAATCGGCCCTGATGGTACGTAGCAAACCTAAAATGTTTTTGTCATATTCTAGCTATGAAAGATCTAAAGTGTGATACCTTTTATCGCACTAAATATGATAAAGCTTAAACATATATTAAGTCATATTAAGTGTTTACTCTATGTATTTAAGTTTCGATATTTCAGTTAACTACGTACCTGAGATAAGTACTTAGTAAATAGTATGATAAATTGTTACTCTCATATTTAAATTAAACATTTTTCATTTTTTTATATTTATATTATATTTTTTTCATAATTGTTATTTTTTTGGCTTAATATAAGAAACTTTAACGCCGCTATACCTTTTCAACACTATTATCAGTATATACAAAATGTGCCTACCTGTATCTTACAAAAGTGTTTTTTATTACAGAAAGTGGTTATGGAATGAAGACTTTCTGGATAATGTTCACATTGATGGGTATTATCATCCTACTTTTGATTGCCTATATTCTGCACGTACGGAAGCAAGCCCAGCATTTCAAGAAGAAGTTGGAATCATCTTCAGAACCAACAAAAAGCGGGAAGGAAAATCCGGTCTTTTCAAAAATTTGACATTCTTTGTAATTACTTTCATGGGTAAACCCTTTCAAATAATGAAGTTGGTACACACAATCTTGGTTAATATATAGAAGGCACAAGTTTACAATGCAGTATTTATTGCTGCCTCACTGTGACCGTGCAAACAACGAATATTATCACAATGCAACAATTTTACACTATACTGTTTAAAAAATAACCAAAGATGTGTTTGTATTTCTGTAGAATATATAACGAGGGTGAGAAAATGCTTGAAACATAATCAACAAGGACAGATTGTCAATATATTTCAATATAATCAATATCTTCAAAAGACGAATTGTGCAGTTATAACTTCGAGTTAGAGTTGTTAACGTCACGTGTCTGAAGTTTAAGACTTATTTTGAACAATCTAATAACAGTCTCGATACCAAGGTAGCGAAGGAAATATTCAAGTTTAAAACAACTGTCTAAAATTGAATTACGTTATTAACAGGAATTAATTCTAATATGAGGTTTTTGCAAGCTTTAATTTCTGTGTAAAATTTATAATTCAAGATGTAGTGGAATGTTTGTATTGCTACATTAACATACTAACGATACCAAGCATATCAGCCTTCTAAATACGCCAACGTTCAATTAACTCAATGTATTGCGTTGTGGTTATATCTCAGTTATTTCCATGATGAGGTCTACCAAACCTTATACAACAATAACATAAATAATGTCTTCGGATTCTTCGGATGTTAATGTCACTATGGAAATCTCCACACACCGTTTGTTTTTATTTATTTATTTTAAAAAGACTCATTTTAGCGTCAAAAAAAGTAAGAAAGGAAAGACATATTTGAACATGAATATTTTAATTAAATTACAATTTTACCATTTACCATATTTATCAACTGGGAAATCGTTTTCGATGTTTAAATCAGGTGCAGACTTGATATTATGAGTTAACTGCAGTATGGATATGTGCAAATATGCTATTGTACAGATCTTTTTTTTTTTTTTAATTTAATTTTTTTATTTTCAAAGATTTTCAGAACTTGTACATTATACATCACATCACATCAACACATATCTACACATTCACACATATCTACTATTGAAATTATCAGCAACCTCATCCTCCTCATCATCTGATGCTGATTTTATACAATCACAAAGCCACATTCAATTTTCACACACTTTCACACATAGAATAGACAAAACAAATGGACAAAGAGCACTGAGAGAGAGAGAGAGAGAGAGAGAGAGAGAGAGAGAGAGAGACTGCCAAATCTGAGAAGATACTAAATAAAATAAATAACTGCTGTGAGTATTTGTCAATATTTTGTTTTTTAAAGTAGAATAACAACTAATAACTTAATATAAATAGTCATAATACTCAGGGTTAGTTGAGGTCAAGCTCTACTAATTTTAACCATTTTTCCCATTCAGAAGTAAATCTTCTAAGGCCTTGTTCCCCTTTACCACGAGCAATATATTTCTGAACCTTATAGTAATCTTTAATCGAATTGACTAAAGCCGTCACATTAAGTGACTTATGAAAACATCTGGTTTTGTATATATATTGTTTAATGAACAGAGTAATTTCATTATCAATTCTGGTATAAATTCCAGTTTGGTTGATAAAACCAAAGATCATTGATTCTTTATTTAGTGAGAAAGGAATAGTGAGAGCACTTAAAAGACTTTCAAAATTGCTCAGAAATTTTTGTACTTCCCTGCATTCCCATAAAACGTGGGTAATTGTCTCCCTTTCTATGATACAAAAAACACAGTGTGGGTTATTTACAAGTCCAATTTTGCATAAATAAGAATTGGTTGTTAAAATATAATGATTAATTCTAAATTGCAACCATTGCAATTTTGTATTTTTTGTAACCCTGAAAGGAATAGCATATATTTTCCCCCAAGTTTCCTGATTATAGTCGAATATAGTTCCCCATTTTGTTTGAGCAGTTATTGATGCATTATTTCTGATAAGTATATTATAGAAGTCTTGAGAACCTTTTTTCTTCTTTAAAATTATTACAAGATGTAACGGTATAATTGGGTATATCACATTTTTGTTTGGCAAATTAAGTTGTTTCAGATAATTCTTTATGCTTGTTATCAAGCCATGATATTCTAGATAATTAGTTATTGTACCATGTAGATCACAAAATTCCTTAAAAGACAAGAAAGAGTAGTCTGTGTTGTTTTTCAACAAATCATTAATTATCATAATCCCGTTTTTAAACCACTTACTATAAAAAACAACTTTATTACCAACAGAAATATTTTTGTTATACCATAAGGGTGTCTTAACTAGGGCAAAATTCTCATTTTTTTTAACAGCTCCTCTTTTGCTCTTAATTTATACCATGCCCTAAACACATCTTTCCAAAACACATTTTTGCAATTTCCTTGAACTTTATTAAGGTACTCGTTTCCTGAGTTTGCCAAGATATGAGGATTTACACAAGATTTTAAAATGCTTACCCATTTACCTTCTGATCTAAAAAACCTTCTTATCCAACTTATTTTCAGAGCTTCAATAAAAGACATTAAATTAACCATTTTTAGCCCACCTTCTTGATAATTTTGGATTATTATGTCCCGTTTAAACTTATCAGTTTTGCTATTACATAAAAAATTGAAAAGAACAGAATTGAGCTGTTTTATAAATTTTTCAGATAGATTAGGTAAGGAAATGAACAGATGATTCATCTGAGAAATTAATAAAGATTTAATGACATTAATTCTACCAATAGGTGTGAGCAACCTTCTACTCCAGCTCTTAATAAGAGCTTTAAGTTTAACTAATTTTTTATCAAAGTTCATTTTAGGTATTTTGCAAAGATCTACATGGAAATCTATCCCAAGAAGAGTAAATTTATTAACTCCCCATCTAAGATTCATATTTGGAAGGAGAACATCATTGCTGTATTTTTTACTGCCTATCCAGACAACTTCAGTTTTACCTACATTTACTTTAAGACCAGATATTTTTGCATAAATATTTAGTTCATCAACCGCCCCTTTCAGTGATTTTTCAGAACCATCTAATACCAGAGAAGTGTCATCTGCATACTGAGAGTTTAAGATGGGACAGTTATTAACCTTTATACCAGTTATACTCTTATTGTTTCTAAGGCGGATTGCTAAAACTTCTGCACATAGTATAAAAATATATGGAGCGATGGGATCTCCTTGACGACATCCACGATTTATTTTGAAAAAAGCTGATAAATTACCCCCCTGGTTTATAGCAGAGCTTGAATTACAGTGTAAAATTTTGACCCAATTTCTGATATCGTTTCCAAATCCAAAATATCTAAGTACTTCGTCTATGAATTTCCAAGAGACAGAATCGAAAGCCTTTTCAAAATCAACCATTAATAACATTCCAGGGATATCATTTTCCTCTGTATATTGCATAATGTCATAAACCAGGCGAGTATTTTCTCCTACATAGCGTCCCGATATAAATCCTGATTGATCAGAGTTTATAATTTTTTGTAAAACTAATTTGAATCTACTTGTTATTGATCCAGAAGCAATTTTGTATACAATGTTTAATAGAGAAATAGGTCTCCAATTCTTTATAAAATACTTTGATTTATTAGCCTTAGGTATACAAGTAATTATTCCCTGACGTTGTGTAATAGATAGCTGACCATTTGAAAAACCATAATTTAATGCCCTAACCACAAAATTACCTAACTGATTCCAAAAACATTTATAAAATTCTGATGTGAATCCATCTGAGCCTGGGCTCTTATTACTTTTCATATTCTTTAGTGTTATAGATGCTTCTTTAAGTGTAATAATACCTTCCAAACTGACCGCTTCTTCAACATTTAATCTTGGAACATCAAAATCTTCTAAAAATTCATCCAAATCTATGTCATCGACTTCATTATCAATAGAATACAATTGTTCATAAAAAAATTTCACCTCATTTAATATATCTACTTGTTTAGTTAGAAATTCCCCATTTTCCTGTTGTAACTTTGGAATGATTTTTGATGTAAAATGTCTATTTTCTAAATTAAAAAAATAATTGGTAGGTTTTTCACCCTCATCAATCCATAAGGCTTTTGCACGTATTATACTCCCTTTTATCCTATGTACTCTAATCTTTTCCAATTCCTTTTTTTTCTCAAGTAACTTGTCTAAGTCTACATTATTCTCATTTTCCAGTTCCTGTATTTGATCTATTAAGGTCTTTTCCCTTGCCCAACACTGTTTCTTTTTATAGGAAGAATATGAAATTGACTTACCTCTAATTTCCATTAATAGTGTTTCTAAAAATAACTGATCATTTATAACAAACTGTAAATCTGAATCAGGTATATCATCTATATTTTCAGGATTATATATAGGAAGGCAATACTGTAATTTAACTGTTTTAATAGTATCATTAATTATATTAAGATATTCCAGGTCATATAATAAGGAACTATTTAACTTCCATAGACCTTTACCTTTTTTAAATTCGTTAAATTTTAACATAATTTTGGGGAAAGAATGGTCTGATCTGTAACCTGGATCTATACTTGTCTCACATACACTTTGTAATAAGTTCCCAGAAACCAAAAAGAAATCTAACCTAGCCTGCTTGATAGGTTTACTCCTGCGCCATGTATATCTGGAAATGTCAGCATGCTGTTCTCTAAAAACATCCACTAAATCAAAGTTATTTATTATTTCTAATATCCTTTCACGAGCCTTTGGATTATTAACATTTTTGTAGCTTTTATCACAATCTAAATCAGGATTAAGAACTAAATTAAAATCCCCACAAATAACACAGCTATCATTTTTAAACTCATAGAGAGTTTCTTCTATTTTATCATAAAAAGTTGGGTTGTCAGAGTTTGGACCATACAATGTAATTAAAGTTATTTTCTTACCTTCAATTTCTAGATCCAATGCCAAAAAATTCCCTGTCAAGTCTTTTTTTTCCTTTATCACCTTGACTTCAAAATTGTTATTGATAAGTATTGCTACCCCCCTTGCATTAGATTTAAAAGAATTAAAATAGCAGTTATAGCCCCATTCACTCAGTAATATTTCTTCCTGTTCATCGGTAAAGTGAGTATCTTGCAGACAGTAGATATTGTATTGCCTATCTCTTAAATAAGTAAAAACATCCTTGCGCTTAACCTTGTCACCAAGGCCCTGGCAATTGGCCGTTTATTATCTTAATTCCCTCCACAACTGTTTAAGAAATTACAATGCATACAACAATGTATGGAGTTACAGCAGGCAGTAAAAATTGACTGACGGAAACTACACAGCAGTAACAGTATTTGCCCGGCGTGATGTCTGACACAAGAGATGAAATAAAGAACTGAACACAGAGAAAAGACACACAAAAGAAACACATAACGGACACAAATAAACATTTAAAATATCAAAAGTGGTCAAGAAAGACTGACTCACTATCACCTATACACCTTCATCTAATATTCATTCACCTGCATGCCACACCTCATCCATTCGACCCAATTTATCCAGTCTTTCGATCCTCACTCGTCATCAAACGACGCTGAACTTAACCGGAAGTACATATAGGCTAATCTAGTCTCAATCAGTTAGATGTTTAATGGCATAGATCTTACGGGCTAAGCATCTGACTGACCCAGAAAACATAACTAATTACATAGACTGGAACCGACATTGGACTATATTATCCGTCATATACTATATGATATCAATATACAGTTTTTGCATGTCTAGAATGATTATCCAATATCTATCACCATTTATGTAGGTAATATATTATTCAACTGTTTTCAATATGTCATCATAATATATATTTATATTAAAAATGGAGGGGAAAAAAATAATGTAAACTGTTATTCTGATATTACATTCTATTTACTAATACTTATACCAGGAAACACATAATATCATAAGATTCAGTTTCATATACAATTCACTTTCAGCCCTTTCATACTTTCATAGTTGCGCAGCATCAGTCAAAATTACATAATAAATCA